AATCAAAATTGATCAAATAAAAACATATTATTTTATTTCGTGTACTCACCAATTCTTTGATAAATGTTTGTCTAATATATTTTTATTTAAAATTGAGAAGATTCTACAAGAGCAATATTTAATGAATTGTTATATTAATATTTATAATAAATTATCTTTAAAAAATTAAATAAATCTTTTAATATTGTTTTAGATTTTTTTTTTATTTTTCTCGTTTAATAAAGTTCGATTAGTTGAATAGTAATGAGAATATTTCACTTTAGATAAAAAAAAAATCCAATAAACCATTGATACATAAAATAATTAATCAATAAGAGGAAAAAAAAAGCTTTTTTTTAACTGTTTTAATCCCTATAACATTCTTTAATTAGTTTATTTATACAATGAATATGATCATTTTTTATAATGATAATCAATATCTTGTTTGATTACTCTTTTAATAGATGATTTTTATAAAAAAAAAAAAAAAAAATATTAAAATGTTATAATTCATGATAGTTTTATTTATATAATAGAAAAACAAGAATTTCTTCTTTTAAATTCAATATATAATAATGTATTGTACTTAGTTTTTAGTGACAACTGACAAAAAATATTTATCTTATTGATAGACCCAATGAGAATTGTCTATTTGCATCTATTATTTAGAGTAACTATTATTTTGACATATAAACGATTATCGAATAATCACCTATTTCAATAATAGAATTTTCTTATTATACATAAAAAGAATAATACTTTAGTATAAATCATTTATTCACTGAATAAAAATCCTTTTCAAATAGATCATCGCAAAATTTAATTTAAATATTAATAACAAAGCAAAAAAACAGAAACTAAATAATAATATTCATATCGAATTGTTTCCAATTGAATGATTTATATTTAATATGAAAATAAATAAATTTATATAAAAAAATCAAGATTTATTTTCAAACATCTAAACAATATCTTTTAACTTATTTTTTGCAAAATTCTTTGTTGTTGTATTAAATAAATAAGAAAAATTTTACAAAAATATCAAATTAATTTGTCAAATATTAAAAAAAAATATCAATCCTAGACTAATGAATTATTAAAAATATTCACGTATATCCATACTCATTTATATAAAAAGATTTTGTTATTTTATTAGAAGTATTTTCATAATCATATGGAAGAAGCGATCAATAAACATGAAAGGCCAATTAAAATAAATAAGAGAAAAGTTTCTTGTTTCTAATAATGATTATAAAAAGAGTACTGTAATAATAGATGAAGGTAATTTAAGACTGAATTCATTCTTTATGAAAAAAAAAAAGAATACATCGAATCATTAGACATATACACCATTTGTCTTTTCCTTTTTAAGAAAAAAAAAAACCTTATTTTTTATAATATCAATGATGATAATGAAATAGATTCATTTATCATTATAATTGACAGACAAGAACGTTTTTTTTGTCTATGTAAGTCTAAAGTTAGTTGATCTTGCATGAAAAAAAAATAATTTTCGAAGAAAAAAGAAAAAAAAAAAGAAAAGTGGAGCTATTTTCTCATTTCCGTAATAGTTTTTGATTTTGATAGATAATGGATATAATGATTGATTCGATGTGTGACTTATAGCCTAAAGGCAAAACACATCGAAACCTTTTCTGAAAGCATTTCCAAGAGGGAGAGAGAGAGACAGAGAACGATATGGATTTTTTTTTTCTTACTGCTTTTTTTTTCTCCTTTTTTTTTTTGCTATCTTTTATCAAAGACTTTATTCTTTACAGCGCATAACAATTATTTATTTCGAATTATTTTAATCTAATCTGAGTTATATATAGTGAATTGTAGTATATGTCATAATATAGATGATCTGTTCGTGACGAATAGATAAAAGAAAAGAAGAAATGTCAAAATAGACAAGTCATTGAGATAAAATTCTCGGTAAGAAGAACACTATATTGTGAAGAACTTATTGCCCTTATTTTTTTTTTTATTGATAAAAATGTATATCTCCTGTTGTGTTAATAAAAAAGGCGTTATATTATAAGATGATCATGTTCATTTCAGCATATGAATTTGAATGAATAAATGATGTTTTCGAATACAAATCGTAGTCTTCTTGTTCAATTTAGCGAAGATTATGCTCAAATTCATGGAAGAATTGTTTTTCCATTAACAATATTTGGTATATTAACAAGTGTTGTAACAATAATAATATTAAATCGAAAAAATTTTCAAACTCCAACAAATTTAATTCTTCAACATGTTGCATTCTTTGATACAATTGTATTAATATCATTTAATATATATTCATTTTATTTTTATATTCTTCATGATCCAAATCCATTTGTTGGTCAATCACAATTTTGGCCACGTTTTGCTATATTTCATTCAAATATTGGTTTAGCAGCACATTCAATTGCATTATGGCTTACCTGTCTTCTTGCTATTGTAAGTTTTTATTATTAGAAAAAAGAAAAAACATCAATAAGTGACTAAAGTCAAGTACTGTAATTTCCGTTTATTTCAAAGAAAAAATTACTTATCTAAGAGTAACCTTGTGAAGATCGGTTCACTCAATGAAACACTTCAGATTTATGCGATTCTTTATTTTTATAATCAAACTAACAGAACTTCTTTTTTTTTTTTTCATTATTCAATTTTATTATGAACAAAAAACAAAAAATAAGTCTTTTCGTTTTTTCAATAATAATTAAATGTTTTTTGATAAAATGTTCAAAATGAATAAAAACTTTATTTAGATTCGTTATACAATAATATCAAAAACACAACAAGTATCAGTCAATTCGACATATGTAATGATATTAATATGGTTGGTTGCTCTTGTAATGTGTTTATTAATGATACCAAATTATTTAGTATGGAGTGTTGTTTCTGTTCCAGCTCATTCACTTCTTCCTAAATCTTATTCATCAAATTCAACTGAAACAGTTTATTGGGTTAGTTCAGCAACAGGACAAAGTTTAGAAAAAATTTCATTTGGAATTTTAGCAATATGTTTAAAAATTTCTCCAGTTATAATATTAATTATATTTAGTATATTATTAATATTAAGTATTCGTCATGCACGTCAAATACGTGAACGTCTTCGTCATAATTATTCATCAATAAATTCATCATCAAATATAAAAAATGAAATGCGTACAACAACAATGCTTGTTTTAATAACATTATGTACTGTTTTCGTTGAATTACCTCAAGGTCTTTTATTAGTTGCTATTGGTATAGATAAAAAATTTTTTATTATATATTCACATTTGGGAGATTTTTGGGATTTAACATCAATTAGTTCATCATTTATAACATTTGTTATGTATTGTTCAATGTCACAACAATTTCGTTTAGAAATGATTTCACTTCTTTTACCATCAGTTTGTATTAAAAAATCAAATTTAGAATCAAGACAAAATTCATTAGTAAAAAAAAAAAATCTTAAACAAAACAAAAAACAAAATTGTTCATTAATTATTAAAAAAGCAACAAATATTCCAGAAGATCTTTAATTTAAACAATTATTTATGATTTCTTTTTTTTCTTTTTTTTCATTAAATGTCTTAATAATCTATTTTAAAAACAAATTTTTCTTCTATTTCAATGTATTGTGTAAAACAAATCAATCAATGATCCATTCATTTTTATGTATTCTTGAGAATATTTTTATTTTAATTCTATATTTTTCCTTAAATAAAATAAGAGTCTATGCAAAAACAAAGAAAAAAGAAAAGCCTTTTCTTTCTTCCAATTTATTATATTGAGATAATGTTATTACCTTTATAGGATTATTTATCACAAATAGATGATAGATAACATGAAAATAGGTTTACTCTTTCCTTAATAAACTCATAGACGTATTTATATAATAATATTTCCAGGATTTAATTAAATAAATCATCATCCATATGTGGAAATAAAAAGATCATAACTTTCATTTAAAAGGTTTTATTTCATTGAGATATTTTTGTTCAAAACTAAAATAATAATCTTTATATCATCAAACATTTCTTCGTATTAAATGACGAGGAATAAATGCTCGAAAACTAAATACAAATAAATATTTCTTTTTAATAAGATTTCAGAGGATCAAAGATAGTTCTATTCAATTTTCTTCTCTCGCTAATGAAAAACATCAAGGGTTCAATCTTTTATTCAGAGTGAAAACAATAATTGTTCTTCAGAAAAAATAACATTTCATTTACTTATCCTACAAGTTGTTTTTAGATGTCAAATAATATTATATAGAAATTTATTTCAACAAAACAAGAAAAAAAAGAAAACGTTTGATAATCTATCTCTTTTTACAATCAAAATTATCTTGAATAATGAAAATATTAAACTGATTTGTTTTATTACGAGAAATAACAAAAGTAGACTAGTGAATATTTTTATATATTTTTTGGACACTCATTATAATATCATTGTCGAAAACAATTCTTATAAGAAGTTCATTTTTGAAAAGAATATTTCCATAGTAGAAAGAAAAACGAATATTTTTAATAAATATAATATTGTAGAAAAGTTCAAAAATAATCGATATAAAATACATGAAATAATAAGCTGATGCGATTCATTTGTTAATCAAATTATGATTTAATAGGAAATTCTTTTAAATATTTTTTCAGTTTATTATTTTCTCATTGATAGAAAATATTTAAACTTTTATTTATTTTTTTTTTTTGAATAAACAGACGTTCGATTCGAAGAAAGATCATTGAAGATAATATTTATTTCTAAATAATAAATTTGACTAAATTCTAATAGAAAATATTCAAATATCAAAAACAAAATGAAAAAAGTTGAAAAAGAAAAAAATTCTTTGGAAAAATAGTATTTATTGTTAATATGCGAGAATAAAAAAAAACTTATTGTAATATATAAAATCACATTATCTGTTATCAATATTTGAGATTTAATTTCGAAATTGAAGATTCTTATTTACAAATAATAATCAGATTTAAATTTGTTATTTATAATTAAATAACAAGAATATTTGTTATTAAATAAAATTTTTATTTTTGTTTTTTTTTGGAAACTGACGTTTGTTTATCAAGTTTTTTTTGTTGTTTTAATCGAGCTTTTTCTTGTTTTTGACGTTTTTTTAACATCAGATTATTCACTAAACGATAAACAATAAATCCTATATTAAAATAAAACAAATTAATTTAATTCAATTGAAACATTTAATTAAATTGACTAACCAATAAAAGTAGCAATAATAATCGCTGTAATAATAATTAATACATTATTATATGAATGACTTGTGTAACCTGGCCCTTTTAATTCGACCTTCAACAAAAGAAAATATATTTTTTTAATTAATTAATTCATTTGTATTAACGTACCATTTTTTTACATTTAATAATGATTAATAATATAGAAACAAAATTGTGATTGATTTTATCAAATAACTTAAGATTTGAAAATGTTTTTTTTATCAACAAATAACTTTCTTTTGAAACCAATCAACAAACTGTGAAATAAAACGACATCTCTCGATGTACTTTTATTTAAAATCATTGTTCATCACATCTTACAAGATAATATTGTATTTAATTATTAGAATAAAATTATCCTTCTATGAAATGGTCGACAATCAGACAAATATTTCTTTTTTTTAGTTTTTAATTGATTCGATTTTAATGAAATGAAAACGATTTAAGATATAAATTCAACATTAACATATTTTTGTGCTTGAAAATCGATAACATAACAGTATAAAACATTTTAAGAAAAAGTTGTCTTAATCATCATTATTATATATAATAAACAGTTTAATATAATTGAAGAAAAAAATAAATAAAATTTTGGTTTATTTTCTTGTCAATAAAATATAATTTAACTTTTGACGTATATTATTTATAGATTTACATTTAAAAACTTAAACTAAAACGAATAGTTCTAGTTCAAATTTAATTAACATAATTTGTTCACTTTAATTTCAAATGATAATTCTTAAATTTCAATTGAAAGGTTTTATTCAATCTGTTTAGGATCAGTAATAACTAAATATCCTCTTGGTCTTGATGACATTTTATCGTATGTACACATCATTTGAATCAAATCTTTTACTGATAACCAATGATGAGGAAATCTTGTATGACTTGTATCCAATATAAGAACATGATCTGTTATTTGATTAAATCCAGCAATTAAACTTAAATGTCCACCTCGATGAATATGATTTTTATTTTTTTCTTTAAATTGTCTCAAATAATTAACAATTAGAAAATTTTTCTCTTTTCTAAGATCTTTTCGAAATTGTTCTTCGATGGTTTTATCTTCACAATAATGAATTCTTGATCGAAGACCACATTTTTCAAGAACATAAGATAATTTAGATAGAGTTATTCCATTTGACATATGATTTCGAGCAACATTTGAATAAATATTTGATTGACTCCAATTTTGATAAGGTAGAAGAGTGTTTAGTAAAATTGTAGCACAGGCAATACCACAAAACGATAAATGTTCTTGTCCTTCAAAATGTGGATTAAGACGATCATAAGCAACATGTGATGAATTAGAAAAAATTTCTTGACCAACAGAAGATGATAATGGAATTATTAGAGATGGATACCAAAGATCCATTCATCAAAAATTTAAATAATAAATTTTCTATATTATAAAATATACAATAGATAAAAATTATATTACGTCGATTCGATTCTCCAGAAAAATCAAACAATGAGCCATATTTACATTTCGCTTGTTGGCTACGAACACGCGTAAAAAATGTCCACATATTGACTTAATTGTTGTTAAGGACGGCCTCTTTTCTTTCATCGATCTTTCTCAATCATCTTGCTAGTATATACTAGCAAGACAATTGATAAAGATAGATAAAAGAAAAGAGACCGTCCTTAACAACAATTAAGTCAATATGTGGCCACTTTTTACGCATGTTCGTAGCCAACAAGCGAATTGTGAATATGACTTATTGATTATGACAAAGTATGGTCAATTACTATTCAAAGACAAGCAAACGAATAGATTAATATAAACGATAGGTATCACTCGTTTACGATTCTGTCCATTGGCAAAGATTATGTATATTTCTTTTTACTAAAAAGAACATGTAGTTTACACGTTACGCTGTAACGTGAAAAATTTTAAATAGTACCTTTAAAATAATGTGTACTTCATCATCGGAGACGCCATTTTTTCATGTTTTTGACGTGAAATTTACGGAAACCATGCGGTGTTTTTGATTTCTCAAGTTACGTAGTAGATACGAGTCAAAGATAGGAAGATTTGATCAGATAAAAACACGAATAAAAATATTTCTAATAAATGTGACTTAAGATGAGAAATAAGTTAAAAAATTCCTAGGATATTATGTTTTGAAAATGAAAATATATTTAAACAAATCGATTAATACTATAAATTAAAGATAATTTTTATTTATTTTTTCTTTAAAAGTAAAATCCAAGGAAAACAACTGAAAATATTTTACATGATCGAAACTTAATTTTTTCTTTGTCTAGAGTAGGTTTAGCAGAGAGTTCCTGAATAAATACTGTCATTTAACTGTTGCAAATCTTCTAATCGATGATATGCACTAATTTTCTACGTTATGAATCATAACCTTATAACCATCGATGTTGCAAGTATTTATGCTCATTCAAAAATTCGACAAAAAAAATACTAGGGATTCACTCATCTAACTGATAATTACAAATAATAGATATTGTCATCTATTACAAGTCATGATGTCATTTTATCCTTTGGGGATCAAGGCCATATATGTAGTGTTTAAAAATCTCAGTAAGAATTGAAAGTCTTTGAATTTGTTCGAATCGATTCTTTGAGTGCGTTGGTTCTTTTCTATTTCGAAGTTCTCTATTTGTGTCATTGCAATAAGAGCTAGTATCAGAATTATGATAGTTAATAATTTTCAGGTTATAACTTATTGCGACGCTTCGACTTTGCTTCTTTTAAAAAAAGTCGGCTATCAAAGAGTTAATCCACGTGTAAGAAAAGAAAAGAGGAAATAACAAACCAGATTAATGTAGAAGAATGAACAAAATAAAAAGCGGAAGAAAGAGAAAACATGCGATTACATAAAACGTCTAGGCATCTCCGGAAGTAACAATCGAATAAAATTCTAACTAAGTTAGTAAGAGAAGAATGTGTAGTACTTCTTATTTATTTTGCTTATTAAAATAAAGAAACCAAATCCAGAACAATAGCATAAAGTATTAATCTGGATAATAATGATAAAGCTTAAGAGATAATGCTATAGATTATTTTTCTATGTAGTACTTCATTTATTACTTTAAGATTGAACAATTAGAAAAAGAACAATAAACATTAGATGATGAAGTTGATGAATATCTAACTTTAGCTAATCAAGCAATAATTGATAGAGACTTCGACAAGGCGATTGACCAATTATTAAGTGCTAAACAAGTTTACATTGATCTTAATGATACTATAAACGAACTACAGAAAGTAAAACAATCAATAGAATTATCATGAACGATCCCATGTCATAAAAATCGGATCACTTTTAGTGGTAAATGTCAAAACCAGCGGTATACCACGAATTACCATAAGAAATTATCGATTAACTGCAGTAAACTAGCGATTTTTCTCCGGTTTTCATTGTATGGGATAGTCACCACTAACAAATCGACAAGTCAAATTTAGCGAGGGATATAACAAATCTGGGATTTTATTCAGATTTGCGTTTATTTCAACTTCTAAATTTAATCATCATCATTTTTTTTTGAATTTTTGTCGGTTTTTTTTTGAAATAAGAATAAAAAATGATTTAAAGGAATCTAGATGATATGACCAGCAAGATCTACAAGAAAAGTTTTAGTTATATTTAAATTTTAAGAAAAATATTCTACTTCGTGTTATACTTAATGCTTATCTTCAATAGCTGAGCCAAGTGTAACAATTGATGATCCTTTTTTTATGTAATTGATAGTTAGAAACTAAAAAGAATTCTTTTCATCATGTAATAATATTACAAAGGATGTAACTATTTCGGCATCAAAAAAAAAAATTTAACACAAAGATGTAGTCGAGTTGATCGAACAAGATCTGATTGTGATTTTACCTATGTTCAAAAGCACGTTGTGAACATTTCGATGATTATTTATTGACAGAAATATTTCGTACACTTTTACATGAGCTTGCACTAGCTATTAAATTTTCAAAATAAGGCAATATTCAACTTTTTTTTATCTAAAGCTATTAAACAAACACCAATGGATGCTGTTGCTGAAGCTGAATTTGCTTTTACACGTAATAAATTTTATATTTTTTGATTAAAAAAATATCAAAATATAGAGATCGAAGCAATTAATAAAAATAATGAATTAACATCATAAGGAAAAATTTTAGTATTATTACCAGTCGAACCAAAAATTGAAAAAGTGATTATATTATATTTTTTTGGTTAGTTATTTAATTAAAAATTTCACCTACAGTCAAATCAAAAAGTATTGGGACATCTGAAACGACCTTCATCCTTTCTCAAAACGATTTTGGTCTATGTACATGCAAATTGTATGAAATTTTCAGAATACGTTGGGGCTGTTGTTGTGGAGAGACTATGATGAAGTTTTCAGGCCGATACTGTGATGTTTGAGGATGATATTCACAAAATAATGGTCAAGAGTAGATGAATTGGCAATTTAAAATTCACTGTGGGTCTTCATTCTGTATATTTAATTATTTTTTTGTTTGAAAGAGCATCTCAGAATCGAGCTCATGGCAGAGTCCTTTTTTATATTCTTACTTTTTAAGCAGAGAAAAGTGTTCACAAGTTCAATAACTCAAAAAAATACATTCTACGCCCATTGAAAGTATATCCTTCGAATTTTTTGTTTTTTATTAATATACGTTTTTTATCTATCAACCTACTATATATAGGAAGAAAGCTCGAAATGCGCTGTATCTTTTGGTATATTTACATTGACCATCAAATGCAGTTAAAAGTATGAAAGGTGTATTAGAAGAAAAAGTCACTTTTTCTTTTTTGCCAGTGTTCATAATGTTGTAATATTTTTTATTTCGCATATATCTCGACTTAGGTAAATGATAAAACGTTGAATTTTTTTCCAAAAGATGCCCTGTGAAAAGCTCTACAAAAGCTACATAATTGAATTCTTTTTTTAACTTGTTCTAGTGATTTTTCTGATACTCAAAATGAACAGATTACATGCCAGTGTCACTTCCCATCATACTGAAACTGTTGGAAGACTTTTTTGTTCATCATATATCTCGACTTGAGAAAATGACGGAATATAGAATTTTTTTTCAAAACGGTATGCCGTCGAAAGCTCTACAAAACTTGTATAGACCAAGTCCTGTAGTGAATCAGAGAAGTCCTCGAAACGTTTTCTACATGATGGGAAGTGATACTGCTATGTAAGTTGTTTCATTGTGAGTAATAGAAAAACCACTAGAGCAGATAAAAAAGAATTCGATCATGCAGCTTTTATAGAGCTTTTCACGGCCCATCTTTTGGAAAGAAATTCAACATTTTATCATTTACCTAAGTCAAGATATATGCGAAATAAAAAATATTACACTAGTACGGATGCCCGAAATTTGGTAAAAGAAAAATTGTCATTTTTTTTCTGATACACTTTTTATACTTCAAACTGCACTTGATGGTCAATGTAAATATACCAAAAGATGCAGCATATTCCGGGCTTTCTTCCTATATATAGTAGGTTAATACATAAAAAAAGTATATTAATAAAAAACAAAAAACTCGAAGGATATACTTTCAATGCGCGTTGACTGTATTATTTTCTCAAAGGCTTTTAGAGTTTTTAAGTTATTGAACTTATGAACACTTTTCTCTGCTTAAAAGGTAAGAATATTAAAAAAATGACTCTGCCATGTACTGGATTCTGAGATGCTCTTTCAAACAAAAAAACAATTAAATATATAGAATGAAGACCCACAGAGAATTTTTGGTTATCAATTCATCTACTCTTGACTATTATTTTGTGAATATCTTTCTCAAATATCACGGTATTGGCCTGAAAACTTTATCATAGTGTCTCCAGTACAACTTCAATGTACTCTGAAAATTTCATGCAGTTTGCGTGTACATAGACCAGAATCGCTTTGAGGAAGGATGGAGGTCGTCTTAAATGTCTCAATACTTTTTGGTTTGACCGTAAGTGTATCAATCGAACGATAAAAATTTCATTAGTATCATTTAACTTTTTTGATGGCCAGATTAAACTTGAGACTAGTTGAATTTGTTTTCAACTGAACCAGAATGGTCTGTTTAACCTTTTCTACCAATCAAAAACTGATCTGTATTATATACCAATTGAAGAATTTATTCTTTTCAAACAAAGGCATATTAATATAGCTTCACAATGGGATAGATTATGAAATTCATTTGACTCTTGCAGTTTCTGATAGTACCAACTTCTATTTTATCTTGTCACATTACATAGACTCTAATATCATAAATCAAAGAACAATTGTTTCAAAACTTTTCATCTGGTAACTTATAATAATTGATATAAAATAATATTTGTACCTTTTTTTGGCTGGTTTTCTTACATAAGGACATGATTTTACAAGAATTAATAAATTGAATGTTTTCTTATTTGAAATCAGTATTTAACACAACTAGCAGATTGTTTAATTTTTATATGGTGACCATTGTAGGCAGAAGAAAAAGAAATGAGCTAGTACAATGTTCATTTTCTGAGCTGAACTGCTTACTTTTCGGTTTCTCAATATCTATATGTCTTTTTTTAATATCAAATCAGCAGCTGGCAAAACTTTCCAAAACAAAGTCAAGTATTTTCTTCTATTCACATAATAAAAATATGACATGAGAATCAGTATCAATTGAGAGTTTCGAACAGGAAGCACAGAACAGTTTGGAATGAGTTCAACAATTCGAGATGAAAAGTTCTAGTTTAGAATGAACATAAGTTCTAAATCACAGCTAACTTTTCTTGATCATCATCAATGTGTCCTATGCCGATAACGCAGCACATTAGTAGGATATTCTTCTCCAATTGGATTTGACGTCGTTTTTCTGAGTGGTAAACAATACTGACGTATACAAGGCGAAAAAGGTAATGATAGACCATACTTAGACGAAGTCGTAGAAAGACGAAATAGAATTATGATCAATGATCTGATTGGATTATTTGTATCACCTTTATCTTGCTAAATGTTGCAGACTCAAGAAAAAAAAAAAGAAAAAAAAACCACCTACTGCGTTGATAATAAAGCTATATGTTTATCATTGAGTTTTTATTGTTAATTCAAGCGAGACGTATATAAGTAATAATACACATACCATTGCTTTTTTCATTATTAAGTTTTTTTCTAATTAGTTAGTGTTCTACAAAATTCAACCGCAAGTAAGATGAGTAAGTTTATGCTGCATGACAACATTAAAGTAACATAATTAATCTCAACATTTGACATGAGAAACAATGCTAAGTCATAAGATTAGCTGAATGATCTGACAACAAAATGAATCATATCAAAACATTTATTGAGAAGAGACACGATTTTATTGTTGCTAAAGTATTTTTAAAGATCTCAAACAGGTCTATAGTTACTCTGATATTTTGTTGTTTATATACAGCATGGTTGATAGGTGTCTCTTTTACATAGGTTCCATTAACAACAAAATTGAAAAGAAATCGGGCATGGATTTGAATAAAAATGGTGTGGTCGGTTCGGGTAAAAAACAACATCAACATATACATATTGCTTAGAAAAGTTTCGTTTGATTTTTACAAGGTAGTGGATATTGTGGTAGTTGCCAATCACATGGAAACAAAGGTGGAAGTTCAGTCAATAAATTTGAAAATGTGGCGCACATGGATCTCAACCGTGACGGATATATCGGTAATAAACCTGCTCATTCTTCAAATTATCATCAACAAGGAGGCCTAGGATATTATACTCCATATAATGTACCGGGTACTTTAGCACCGCAATACCATCAGACCAGTCGTGGAGAAGGCTTGGTTAATCGACTCGAAAAAGGCGTACACAAGGACCTCAATCATGACGGACGTATCGGTAATAAACCTACTTAATTCTTCAAATTTTAATTCATATGACCATAGACATTGAGACAATACGAGATTGAACAAAGCTCAACTATTTTCTTCATGTTTAACTTTATCCTTGCATTACAATGTTTTGTTTTTTTTTGTCTTTAAAAATTTTCATTATATCTATTTAATTTGAAAAATTAAAATAAAGAACAAAGACAAAAAACGAGAAATTTAAATGAACGTGCTTGATACCTAATATTCAAGTGTCTAATTGCAATTTGTCAAAATGACCGATTCAAGACATGTCTGATTCTTATATACAGCGTGTCACAAGAGTCACTTGTGTAAAATAATTTCGCATCATTCACTTATTTGATTAAATGTAATTGATTACTTTTTTTATAAGAAAGGTGTTATCTTCAAGTATTTTCTTTGTCAACAGAAACTTATTAGTTATTGTATAAAACTGCCTTCACCGCTGAAAAAGCAAAAAAACATTATCTTGTTTTTTTATTACCAACATTAGTTACCAGTGAACAAATGCGACAAGTATCATGGTTACAATCTCATATTTTAACAATAAATAAACATGAATGAGACTAATATGAAAATAAGAGAGAGATGAGTGCTCATGGTATAGTGCTTAACGATATAAGGACTGTTGTACTGCACTTTCAATTCATAGGAAGATATTCTACAAAAAAAATTGAATTAGAGACATTTAACGTGAAATTTTCAATTAAAGTAAATATTTTTTTCTAGACATTCTGTATTTACAAGTAGAAATGTAAGCTATTGCAAAATCCCAGTGATACTAATGGCAATTAAGTATATTGACAAAGTTCAAAGTCTATAATTTGATTTTCTTCAGGATATCTTGTAGTAGATTGAAAATTCAGTACGACAGCACTTACTAGTAAGTACTGTACTATGAGCACATATCTCTCTTTATTTTTCTTAGTTTCCTCGACGTTTATTTATTAGCACAAGACGAATTTGAGATCGTACTATTAATTGAAATAGTTCCCTGATAACTAATATTAGTAATAGGACAAAAAAGTCATTTTTGACTTTTCTAGCAGTGAAGAGTAGCTTTGAACAGTAGCTGCAAAGATTCTCTTTACAAATGAAAACTAGTACAATCATATCTCTGTCATACTATAATGTTAACTGTTTCGTTTCTTGAATCGAAGTGATTAACGAAATATATGTCGAGCTTTATTTATTTCTTTGCTGCTTGAAATAAAAAAACAAAATAACGAGAAAATTCCATAGACATTTGATGTGACTGAAGAAAATAAAATCATGAGTCGATCTGATAAAAAGAAAAAAAACTGAAACTAAAAAACAAATAGAACAGGTTTAGTGTTGATTAAATGAATATATTTTGTATGTATTTATGTTTTATTATTTATCCTTATTATATGATTTTAATAAACATGTTTATACAAGAATTATGTTTCCTTTATCGTTTTGAGATTTTACATAAGAAATTTGTCAAAAGAATCTGAATGATATTTATCTAAAAATCTAAATAAATTTAACCTTTTCGACATTAGAAATCTACTAAAACAATGTTTTCTACATAGTTTCATATACGATTTTTCATTATACAGAGAATAATCTAAACTATGTAGTCGTTTATGCTTCATGAAAAACATCTGTTTATTGCATTCCTCATAGTTAAAAAAAAGCAATATGTTTTGATGTTTAATTATTAAATCTATAAGAATTTTTCTATGGAAATCCAGATCAGTAAATAAGTTCGATTTACTTTTTCATTTGTTATTGAAGGTGAACATAAATTGGCCAAGTGCAACATTGTTCTTTTAGAATATGTTGAAATTGTGTCGTGTCAGATATAATTTAAACATCAGTACTATAAATTCAATAAGTGAAACCTAAAAGTAGATATTTATATTCGGAGAGAAGAATACATTTAGGTAATTTTACTTTCAGATATAGTTAATAACACTTAAAGCTAATTTCCATATGAATGTGAAGTTGATTACAAATATTCTACTTTGTGGAAATTTCAGTCTGTATGAAAAGATCACGTATGTATTGTTTTTTCTGTATTGATGAAAAAATTAGGTATTTTTTCGTTTATTCTTTTTCTATAGATAGTCTCCACTTGTTTCTTTTTCATGAGTTCTTATTACGAAACAATGTAGACTGTTTAGTAACTAAAATGTCAAATAGAAAAAAACAAAACTCAATTTGTATGTATGATTGAACTAGTTTAATATAAAAGTTGTGCAATAATCTATAGATACTTATTGAATGATTTCAACAGATGCAGAAAAAAAGAAATCATTGAATCAGTTTGGATTGTAGTTGGTATTATCAATCGTAGAACGTTATCCCGTTGAGTAGATGAAGAAGATAAAAATAATGTAATGATAAAAAGGAAAACATCTAACTGATTTATTTGTTGATTGAGTCTGTTATCCCTTAGGATGAAATCAATTATACTGGATCTATATTATTCTAGTTATATTATGATCAATACAATAATTCAATGCACTTGTTATTATTTCTTGTTAGCGGCTTAGATTAAATTCAAAATGTGTTATTTACATTGATTTGTTAAGATGAGTTATCATATCGTTTATAATGTAGTTTTGCAATTTCAAATATTCATTTGTTTTCATATGAAATTTGATCTTTTTTTTTTTTCAATTTAATAAATTATATAAAATCGATTTGTTAAAAGTCTGATAGAAAATTTTCTTTTCTAATAGGATAATCAAAATAAAGAGAATCTTTGATATATTTTTGTTATTATTCAATCAAACGGTTAATGTAGATAATATATTTAGAATAGATTGACAGAAAGATATATTATATTAATCTATTCTTAACTATCCTTGTTAGTGTAATAAAAATCAATGATAGTTCAAACAAAATGAATATCTTAAATGAGTCTATATATAACTAATTATTGACGAAGGTTATTTGTCTTTTTCATAGATCATATATGATATTGTTAGTGTCTCTAACATTTGGAACTTTAATAATTGAATATGTAGAGAATAGGATACGTCATGTGTCATTCTACACTCTACTTTGACTACTAATATAATAGAAACAGAACTCATTTTTCTTGATAAATTATGAATAGAACAAGATATGATATAGAATACAATCAATATACAAACAAAATATTTAGCTTATTCTATATATTGAAATATAATAGATCCACTTTTCTTTCTTTCTTTTTCATTGTCGATTTATGATGAGAACAGAGAAGAAAAAAAGAAGGAGCTGTTTTCTCTCATTCTCTTCTCATTGAGTGTCTGTATATATTATAGTTGTCGGTCTTCGACAACATATACGTATATTAAATACATCATCAAGTCATCTGTTAAGAATCGTTTTGTTTTACTAAATTCATATTGATTATAATTATCAAACGAAGATATTGACAAAATGAATTTTCTTAGTGGTCATTGTTGTTCAAAATTAAATTATCTTATTTGTGGTTCAAAAGATTTTTCATTGAAAAAGAAAAAGAAACAATTCAACTTACGGGTAAATTTCAAGAATTTTTTTTGCCAATAGAATTTTAAAAATAGACACTCAACATATTGTTATTAATTTTATGATGAATATAAATCAATAGTTTTTTCTTTTTCAATTAGAATTGATAACAACACACAATGAGAAATGTTTTAGTTTTATTATTTAAACACCAAAAAAAAAAAAAAAAACAAAATGAATATTATAAAAAGATTGACTCTTTAGCAAGAATTCGTTGATTATATTACTACTCCTAAAATAAATGATTTTGAAGGAAGTTAATCAATAATTACAAAAAAAAAAAATAGTTTAATGAGTTGATATAAGCACCCCTACATGTCTGTATGTATCTTCTGACCATGACGCAATCATGGTAAAATGTCTCATGTACATGAACTTGTCGAAGAAAGAAACAATAATTATATCATATTCTGAGATACGGAGGCGAACTGATGATAATGTGTTATATCAATACTACTACGTTTGAAGAATTTTTTTTTTCCTAGAATTGAATCAAAAAATTTTGTTAGGATTTTGAATTTTGATTAATATTTTTGACATATATAAAACGGATATATATAGTTATATTGTTTATTGTTGTTGATAATTCAAAATGATAAACTATACTATTGAAAGAAATAATTATATTGATCGACGATCAATTCTTTTTTTTGTCGTTTGAAATAATTTAATAAAAATTCTTTTCGCAGTTATGATTAAAAGGATTGATACTGTTTGACCTATCATCAATAAATATATTTCTAGGAAAAACAAAACAAAACAAAAAAAAAGAACCTCTTTATACCTCATTTATTGATAAGAATATTCTTTATTCCCTCGTTTCGATTATCAACATATAAATCATATTATTTATCTTAATAGTGACATTTCCTTTTTATTTCTTTTATATTGTTTAGCAACAAGCTATTGCCAATCGTGTTTCTTTAAATAATAAAATTATATATAAAAATGAACCGTCTTCAATTATCTTCAATGATAAAAATAATATTAATATTAATAAACAATCATTATATGATACACTTCAACAACAGAACAGGTAACTAGAAATATGTATTTAACTAATGATAGATAAGAAATCCTAGAATGCATCGCACTATTTCATCAAACAATTAACCTTCATAAGAAGCCAAGCAAATCAAACGACTTTTTTTTTTCACCAAAATTACTTTTTTTTTTTTTGTAAAATGAATATAAATCTATGAAACCTTGCATTTTCATTATTTCTATCAATTATTGAACAATAACGAACAGAATTTATGAATCTATAATCAAATCAATTCACTTTTTAATAATGTTTATTTTGTACAATTCATATTGAAATCAAGGGCACTTTTCTTTACTTGTCATTTTTACAAAAAAAAAGCAATGTCATCGTTTAGTACATTTATTATTTCAATAATTATTATTCTTAAGTTGTTCTTTCAAAGATCATTCTCTCTATTTGATTCAAAAAAGAAATATATATATATATAAATTTTTTTTTATTAAAAAAAAAAATAAAACTATGAATAAATTTTAATCATAAAATGATTCATATAATAATTTGTCCTTGATTGAATTGATAGATAAAATCTATAGAGTTTTTGTAAATAAACGAATTGATCAAACAAATTAATGTATCTTTTAGCAGTCATGATCGATATAAATATAAAAATAAAATCTCTTATGAGCTTTAAAATAGTAATTTCCTTTTTTTCATTTTAACTTTGTCTCATATTCAAATAAGAATTATTTCAACAAATAACTCAATAAAGATTTTAAAAATAAACGAAAATGTTTGAAACATATCAGAACTGTTTGATGTAGATATCAGTACGATCAGCATTTTTTTCTCCGTAAATGAACAGTTTTTATAGAAATTTCAAAAACGTTTATTAGAAATAAATTAGATGATTTATTTTAGTTTCATTTTTCATTATTATTTCATTATGTCAAATTTAACTTTCTCTTTACTATTGACTAATGTTAATCTTCTTTGAATTTCAATATCCATTATGAATTATATCATACTTATTTTATATCTTGCGAAAAATAGACACATCTATTATAATGAAAATCTTAATCTAGATGTATTTCTTTTCTTGATAATACGAAATTTACTATTAATTTTTATTGTCTCATATGTAAAATAACTAATTAACAACAATGAATTGAATATTTAATTTAATCAAATGAATATCAATCTATGAAATTTTATTTATTATTAATAAACAACAAAGAAAAAAAGATTTTTTCGTATTGAAATCATTAATATAATATAAGATTTTGTAAATAAATATTATTATTTTAGTTCAGAAACAAAATTCAAATATAATAAAGATATTCAAACAATGACAAACTCTTCTTATGAATCTTTATTAAATAATTCGAATGATAATCAATTATTTGATAAATATTCTCCAACAATAAATAATGATATAATTATTAAAGTGAGTTTTATCTTCTATATATTCGTTTGATTAAATAATAATAAAAACGAAACAAATTGACATAAAATATAATTACAACGATTTAATAAATGAAAATTTTTTTTGTCAAAGGATGTTATACTTGATCGTAATTATCCAAATCAACGATTAGGTTTAACTCTATGTTATGGTATAACATCAACATCAACAATAAATATTTATATTGAACAAGTAATTTATATTTTATATGAATTTAATTATTTAAATAAATATTAAATAGGTTGAGAAAAAAAGTCTTGCTGATCATCAAGGACAACTTCAAGCTGGTGATCAAATTATTAAAATAAATAATCATCGAGTTACAAATAGACATCAAGCTATTTATCTTGTTAATCAAACTTCTCAGATTATATTACAAATTATTCGATTTAAAGTAATAGATTTTATTTATTTTTAATTAAATCAAATCTTTTATTTATTTTTTTTTCAATAGTCTAGAAAAACAAATTTGTCAAATATTGAATCTCAATTAACAACACCAAAAACTGTAAAAAAATTTGATAGTGGAATTATTCTTGCTTCAAATACAGATTTCGAAACAAATAATCAATTTATATATAAAGTAAACATTATTTTTTTGTTTTGAAATTTTATTTATTGAAATAAAAAAAATTTCTCTCTAGAAATGTTTAAATCAATATAATTTTATCAGAAAAAGTTCTACTAGTTTATCTTGTTTAGCATTTGAAAATTGTTCAAATTGTCGTCATAATCGTTTATATTCTCAACAAATTCAATATCGTCGTTGTTTATCTTTAAATGATTTAAAAATTTATCGAATTAATGAAGAAAATTTGAAATGTAATCAAAAAGATTTAATTAATTGTGAAGAAGAATTTAAAATAAAAAAAACTAATGAAAAATCAATAATAAAACCACTTTCATTTAATAATCATAATGATAAAGTAATTGAAAGATATTTTAATTATTTAAAAGAATATTGTGATCATAATAATCATACTAATAAATATCAATTAAATAAAGATGTACAATCTCAAAATAAACAAAATTGTAAAACTAATCGTCGTCGTTATCGTAAAAAAAATATCAAAGAAAAAACTCAATTATTAATAAGACCAGACAATGATTTAATCAATAAATTAAAATATGATCGATATTCGACTATAAATCAATTTCAAAGATCAAAAATAAATAAACAACGATTTGATTTCTTTCAAGAAAATTCACTAAATTCATTAACAGAAGATTTTAATTTATTAAATCGAATATTTTTATATGAAAATAAACAAGAATTAAAAGAAAAACCTTATTTAGCAATTAAATATCAACAAGAATCAATAAATGAAAAAGAAAAATTAAAAAAAATTCTTCAACAATATAAAATGAATCCTAATTTAACATTTCAATCAACACAATATGAAACAATTAATTCAACTGAAGATAATCCATCAACTATTATCATTTAACTTGTTTCTTTTGTTTATTACAGACAATTATACTTTTTTTTTTGTTTTTTTTTATAAATGATATTTCTTTTTTACTTTTCGAAAAGAAATAAAATATATTTCGAAATAAGTTTTTCTTTATTTTTCTTCTTGTTTCTCTCTCAAATTAATAATTTAACTCTTGTTTATTTTAATTAATCAAATATGAATTTTAAACTTCAATGTTTTTTTCTTTTATTTAATTATTAAATTAACAATCAAAACAAATACTAATCATCATATAGAATCCTTCATTTATTATCAATTTCTAGATACTCATTATTTATTCGCTTTTACAAAATAAATCTCTTTTTCCCAAAGGATACTCAATCATTTGACTGCTTTATTCGTATAATTGATCACGACTCGAACATTTTCATTTCTTCATAGGACATATCTATTTATCATTATATTTTAAAATAAAAAAACTGTTTTATTCAAATAAACAAATATCATTAGATAAGTTTCATTGTGAACAAAAAAAGATTTGTGTTTGTGCCCTCTGTTGGATGCACACAAAAAGAAAAAGGAAGGCATTATGCTATACAACGTCTGACATTGGTTGTTTTCTTTTAACCATTAATAATAGTATTTCGATGAATGATAATATTGATTGTTACATTTAAATTATTATTTTTCTTCATAAATAAATAGAACGAATGTACTTTTTTTTTCTATTCAAATAGATTCGATTTAGTAAAACTTTGAAAAATAAAAAATGGACGAACCACCAACTAATTGGGATCAACAAGAAGAAGAAAACCCATCAGTATCAACAGCAGCATCAAAATTTTCTGGCTTAAATGTCAATGCCGTTGAATTTATTCCTTCATTTGGTACGGGACTTTCATTTGGTTCAAAAGCACCAAGTGTCCCAACGCCACCACTACCTAAAACTCCTCCATCAACACCTGTTGTTGTTCGACATACACATGAAACTGAAAGTAATCTAGCTCAAAAATTAAATATAATCACAAATCAAATCGAATCAAATGGTCAACAAAAAATAAAAGAAGATTTTCCAACTAGAGAAGAAGATGAACTTGCTGATGATCAAAATGAAAGTTCGTTTTCAATAATTTATATATTTTTTTTAATTTTCTTTATATGAATATTTAGGAATGATGGATGATTCAACAACAATGCCAACAACAACAACAGTAAATAAAACAACTTTAGCTGCTAGTTCAACAGTTCCAAAAGAAAAGAAAAATATTGTTATTAAACGAGATATTGTAAGAAAAAAAGAGCCTGTTAATATTGTTTTTTGTGGACATGTCGATGCTGGAAAATCAACTATCGGTGGACAACTTATGTAAATTTTATTTAATTAAAAAAATTAAATAAATGATTCTTATTTTTTTTTTGTTTTGTTTTATTTTAAGGTTTTTAACAGGACAAGTTGATAAACGAACATTAGAAAAATATCAAAATGAAGCTCGTGAAAAATCTCGTGAATCTTGGTATTTATCATGGGCATTAGATACAAATGAAGAAGAAAGAGAAAAAGGAAAAACTGTTGAAGTTGGTCGAGCTTGGTTTGAAACTGAAAAAAAACACTTTATTATTCTTGATGCACCTGGTCATAAATGTTTTGTTCCAAATATGATTGGTGGTGCAGCTCAAGCAGATATTGCTATTCTTGTAAATAGAACTTTTGTTTTTTTCGAATAAATCTTTTGAAATATAGAAATTAAATTTTAGGTTATTTCTGCTCGTAAAGGTGAATTTGAAACAGGATTTGAACGTGGTGGTCAAACACGTGAACATGCTATGTTAGTTAAAACAGCTGGTGTTCGTTATTTAGTTGTTCTTATTAATAAAATGGATGATCCAACTGTTAATTGGGATCAAGCTCGATATGAAGAAATTCGTGATAAATTAACACCTTATCTTAAAAAATGTGGTTTTAAACCTGGTGAAGATACAATTTTTATGCCATGTAGTGGAATGAGTGGAGCTTTACTTAAAGAACATCCTGGAGATCAAATTTTACCTTGGTATAAGTAAGTTATTATATTTAGAGAAAATAATAAAAATAAAACTAAAAATATTATTTCTTATCTATAGAGGACCAACTTTTATTGAATATTTGGATAGTGTACCATCATTTAATCGTAGTATTGATGGTCCACTTCGAATGCCCATTGTTGAACGATACAAAGTATGAATTTATATTTTTATAGTATAAAAATAGAAAACATTTATTTTAGGAAATGGGTACTATTGTTATGGGAAAAATTGAATCAGGATGTTGTCGTGTCGGTGATCGATGTGTACTTATGCCAAACCGAACACGTGTTGAAGTTACAAATATCTATTATGAAGACATTGAAACTGATTCTTGTGTATGTGGAGAAAATGTTAGACTTAAATTAAAAAATGTCGAAGAAGAAGTAAATTAATTATCTTCTTATCGATTATTATTATTATTTTTATTTTTATTGAAATTTTGTTAGGAAATCTCAATCGGATTTATTCTTTGCGATACTCAACAAGAACCATGTGGAGTCGGAAGAGTTTTCGATGCTCAAGTAAAATCTCACATAAAAAATATTGATGAAATATATTTTTTTTTTGTTTTGTGTGTGTAAACTAGATTGCTATCCTGGAACATAAATCAATAATATGTCCAGGTTATTCAGCTGTTCTTCATATTCATGCTGCTGTTGCAGAAGTTCAATTAAAAAAACTGATAACATTAATTGATCGTAAAACTGGTGACAGAACTCAAGAACATCCAAGATTTATAAAACAAGATCAAGTAGGCATTGCAAGATTTGAATTATCACAAGCTGGTCAAGCTATTTGTATGGAACCATTTAAACATTTTCCTCAACTTGGTCGATTTACATTACGTGATGAAGGTCGAACCGTTGCTGTTGGAAAAGTTCTCAAGATTATTGAGTGAAAACTTTTCATTTTTCTCTTTTTGTTGTTAGTTCATATTTATTCTTACAAAAAGAAAACAAGATAATATGTCACTAAATGAGATTTTTGTTATGTATCTCGTTCTACAGAAGAATCCAAATAAAGATTTTTTCTTAGCATCGATATTCATTATTTTTACGAATGAAGATTATCAATATCTCATAAGAAACGAATGAAAAAAAAATAATCATATTGACTCATCTGCTGTTACGCAATACTCTATCATAGACTAAAGACACCTATTGAAGGTTTATATGTTGTACACGAGATTCCTCTCAATAAATCAACGATGTTCTTACCTCAATATTGTTGCTTTCTTGATACATAATTGTGAATGATTGTTGATGAAAACTCATTTTGTACAAAATAGCGTTCCGACATCAACTTTTAGAAAGAAAAAAAACCTATCCCTATTTTTACATGTAAACATATTCTACTTTATTTACAACGATTTGAAATGCATTGTTTCTATTTGCAAGGTATTTTTTCAACTTAAAATACTACACAAAAGAACACCATTTAGACAGGTCCAATTCGCTTATTCCGGCGTCTGTATCCTTGAGATTCTGGTGGAGATCCGCCATTTCCGCCGAAAAAATTTAGAACATTATAGAAATTTGAAAATTGGAATCCGACACTCGGATTTTTCTAGCTCTGATCGTAACGATGCAGAACCAGCCAGTGAGTCCTATCACAGGGTTTTTACCAAAACCAATTCGTATTCTTTGATTTGGGTGTTTATGAAGCGCGCTTTTTTTCCCTAAATCGATGCTATTTAAAACATTGTTTGAATGCTTTTATTTTTATGCTTTTAAATGAATAGGTTTTTTTTATCGCTCGTCTCCTGAAAAAAACCGAATTTTTATAAACACGCCAGAACGTAGTATCTCTTTTTTTTTATTGAAAACCGAGTTTCTTTTGTAAATAAGTGGAAATAAATATTGAAATTTGTATTTTCAGTAAAAACCTCGTTTTATGAGGTAAGAGATTATCATGATGATGCTCAAAAAAAAATATATATCTTAATAAACTCATTCTATAGATGTATTTGATGAGTATAATACATCAGAATTTATCTGCATATCACGAAAGACAGAGATAGTCGTATAATAACAACAAGTATGGACGAATTAGAGCAAATTTGCATTGACTGAAAGAATTTCTTTGCTAAGTTGAAAAATCAATAGGTAAGACGATGTCAGGATAATAACTCTGTCATATTATTTCCATGCAACGATTATTCATCTGTGATGCTTATTTCAATTTTTAACTAAACATCTGCTTATTCATGAACTATTAATTTTTGTCGGGTTGCATAGATGTCGGATTTGGAGAAGTTTAGGTATGTAGATGGCTGTGACCTATAGACGAAAATTAGATCCAATTATACCCAAACCCTTGACCACACTCATACATAGATCCACATTGACAACTCATGCTCAACCTACATCCAACACTTCACGTCTGCATTAACAACCCATAATCACAGAGTCCGAGGGACCTCTCACGAGAGAATATTCCCAAGTGATCCGCTTCGTTTTGATTCATTCATACTTGATTCGATAGAGTATACTGAGATAAGAAAAAGCCTAAAAGAATTCGTGCCTTTGGCCTACTGATGAAGAGTTATGGCTGTTTTACTGAAATTTTTACTGTGAGTCAGACATTTCAGAAAAACTCAAAATGAAGAGTTTCGAGCTGAAATTTTACCTATAGATAGATTTTATAGTCACTAGATAGTTCTGAAAGTTTCATCGAAAACGAACATGCCTTTCTCGAGATATTCAATGCCCAACTAAATTGGATTATTGTGCCCTCCTATGGTAAACAGCTGTTCTTTTTTTGAAAATTGAATAACTCTTGAAAGATGTATTCGTTTTCATTGAAACTTTCAGAACTATCTAATGACTATAAAATCTATCTGTAAGTAAAGTTTCAGTAAAACAGTCATAACTCTTCACCAGTAGATCAAGGGACGAAATCTTTTAGTCTTTTTCTTGCCTCAATATATTCTATCGAATGAGATATGAATGAATCAAAACGGAATGGATTACTTGGGAATGTTCCCTCGTAAGAGAGCAGACTTACCAAATTCAAATTTTAGAAATAAGTAGTTTTTTCAGGAGAAAAATCAGGAGATTTTTCTTTGAAGTTCAAGAGTCATTGAGAGGTTTTTATCCGATAAGATCAAATTTTTCGATCTATATGCAGGCGAGTTTGGAATTCTATTGAGATCGGAATAGCTTTCTTTGTAATTTTTAATAAACAATATTGTTATCGCATGAAATTCGAAAGATTCCCATAATAATGAGTCTTTTCTTTGTTTTTTCTTCTACAATGAATACGAATTTTTGCTATAATTTTTTGAATTGATTGGGACATTGAATAATTAATGAAAAAAAAATTTAATATTTATTTAGAGGAGTACGGGTATCAGATGGTTGTGGTCATTAAACACAAGTGTACATTCCATCACGTAGTTGTTTTATAATTATGATATTAAAGCGCAATAAATTGTTGTAAGCACTAGTTATACTGAAAGTTAAATTTGTTATCGAAATACTGTGCTCGATAGTATATGATGCATAAATATCCTCGGTGATTTTCGACTAGACTTTCTGAGACAACGGTAAAAATATGCTGAGGAAAGATTCAAGTTTTATCATTTATGGAATTTAATATGTCTTGACTTTCTGAACTCGTGTTTAAATTAATCACTTTAGCTACTTTGTTAAGCATTGTCACTATTATAGATTTTTTTTCTACTTTTTCGCATATTCGAAATTCGACTGAATTCATATGAATAAGACTAAAAGATCTTGTTTTTTTGATATTTTTACGCATTACAATCGCAAATTGAAATCCCATATCAGCTGTCACACTATGCATACCTTTCTCTTTTCCAAATCAAGATGGTAATAGAAAAAGTTTCTTACAAAGGAATTAACATTAATACAGGATGATAATTTCATAAAGTTTTTTTTAAATAGTTATTTCATAAGCAATTATTAGAATATATCCAAAAATAGAAAATCAAAGCTAACTCATCAAATAGCATAAATCAAAGCACATACAGTAAAAAAAAATATATAACCAATTTGCTAAACTCCTCCGCTGACAAAAAAACCGTCTTTTTGCATTTCATTTTTTCACGACATAATACACTGTATTAAAAAACAAAACATACTACAAGATGCAGCGTGAAAAGAACTACACTCTATAAAAGTCAGCTTATTTTATAGTCGCACTTTTTGTTTTCAAAATGAACAAAATTTGAAGGCACTAGTTTTTGACTTTTCGAAAAAAAGAAGTTTTTGGTACAATTAACCGCATAGAATTTTATTCATTTTGAAGACGAAAAACTACAACTATAAAATAAGCTGTTCATTGTAAATTCTAGAGCTTTTCACGCTGCATCTTGCGGTGTATTTTGTTTCTTTAATAAAGCATATCAGATGATGAAAAGATGATAAAAACGAATTTGGTCAAGTACCAAAAGCTTCTTTTTTTTTCGAAAAGTCAAAAACTAGTGCCTTCGAATTTTGTTCATTTTGAAAACAAAAAGTGCAACTATAAAACAAGCTGTCTTTTGTAGGTTGTAGTTCTTTTCACGTTGCACCTTGTGGTATATTTTGTTTTTTTAATACAGTGTATTATGTGGTGAAAAAATGAAATGTGAAAAGGCGGTTTTTTTGTCCGGGGAGGGGGGAGTTATACAGTTACATATCTATAATAGTTTTCTTCCTTCATACTGTGAACTTGGATAGTATACGAAATAGGATAGATAAGACAATGTTATCATCATCATGATGAGTAGATTTAATAGTATTGTCTTTTTTTTTGGCAAAAACATACATCAAAAGAAATATTTATTAAATAAATGTAAAAGATTCTAACGATGGAAATCAAAACTAAAGAAAGTCTTTGAAAAGAAATCGAACAACTATTAAAGAATTTGTATTTAATTATTTTTCCTTTCGAAAGGTTTTCTTGACGATCTCTATTGAAAAAGTTTTTTTGTTTTATTATAAATCTAAAATGTTTCTTAATCATGTTCAATTTGAAAGTTTATCTGTTATGATATATCTATATAAGATAAATTTCTTTGTTAGATTATTTTTTAAACAAGAAAAAAGTACAATACATGTCAATATATTTAACGAGTTTATCTAGACAAAAATTCATTTTAATAAAGTAGATTATCAATTTAATAGTTATCATTGAAATGATAAAGATGAATTTGTGATCATCGATGTATTTGTCACTTTTTCAGTTTTATCTTGTTCTTTCTGATTAGTAACATATGAATGTAATTCAGAATCGAAAGAAAATTCCGTATAAGAATTGAGAAGATAAATAATCATAAAGAGAAGAGCAAATAGACAAGTACCAACAATATCAATTATTAATTCATTATGAAAATCATATCGAGTGATCATTTCTTATTTTTCATTATACCAGATAACTTCTTGAGATAAAATGATTATTTATTCTTTACATCGAAGCACAAAATTTGAAGAGCGCTTTATTTAAAAAGATAATTATCGAAAGATTCCACAAATGAGTTATATTTAATATGAGCAAATAAAAAAATGTTTTAGAAAAACCAAATATTAAATGAAATAATAATGACTTATGAGAGAAACATTTTATGTTGATTATAATCAAAAGTAACATTTCATGTCTAATCTAATTTTGCTCTAAGTAAATATGAAAAAGGAACAAAGCATTGAAAACAAACTACATTAATGAAGATAGAATTCGTTATTCGTATTAAGTAGTATATATATATAATTAGATTATAGAGAAAAAAAACGTTTTATGCAGCCGGTGCACGATTATGAGCAAGTTCTTGTTCTGCTTCGGGCATCCATTTTCTTAGTTGCTCAATACGTTTACCGTGTGATGGATGATCAGAAAGAAATTCTGGTGGAGAACCTTTACCAATTTGTTCATCCATTCTTTGCCAAAAAGCAACTGCTTCTTTTGGATCATAACCAGCACGAGCCATATACAATAAACCAATATGATCGGCTTCAGATTCTTGTTCACGAGAAAATGGTAATGCTGATCCATATTTTGCGCCAGCACCTAATGCTGCCATTACTGCCTATTCAGATTTATTAAATAAATAACTAAATAAAAAAAACCTATAAAAAAAGAACAAAACCTGTTTTTGACTTGGATCCAGTTGAGCAAGACTTCCTTGTACACCACCTAATAGAGTTTGAGTTATATCAGAACGAAAAAGTCTTTCGGCACTATGTCTTGAAGTAGCATGAGCCATTTCATGACCAAGTACAGTAGCTAATCCTGCTTCATTTTGTGCTATTGGAATAATGCCAGTATAAACGACAATTTTTCCACCAGGTAAACAAAAAGCATTTTTTTCATGTGATTGAACAACACTGACCTAATAGATGGAAAACAAAAATTTTTAAAAATAAGATAATGATTTCTATAAAATAAAATTTGAGATGCATACTTCCCAATTGTAATGAACAGTTGCCCTTTGAGCAGCTGCTGCTGCAAGTTTAGTTGTAACTCGTTTAACTAAATCAACGTCACGTCCACTTTGAATAATTTTTGATGCTTCATCTTTTTTTACTTGAGCATAAGCTTCTATACCTAATTGAAGTTCTTGTTCAGGTTTAAGATTAATTCGAGATACTCGACCAGTTTCAGGATTGGTTATTTTACTTGCTGTATATAATTTAAAAAGAACAAATCCAAGTGCCATCATTATTGGAACCAATGTCATTGGAAGAGCATGTTTTCGTTCAAGTTTTATTGGCATTTTTATTTCAGATGATCCTAAAAAAACTTTAAATTGATTCATTAGAAATATTAATTTAATATATAAAAAATAAACACTTTGGTAAAAACTTCTGCGTTTATTTTATTTTTATTAGAACGAGCTATATTCTCTACTAAAATATATATCAAAGAATTTTATCGAAAATGTTTGCTCAAAGCCACAAAATTCTTAGAAGATATCCGGAAACTCTTTCGCAACTTTCAGTCATTATTTTTTTTCCATATCGTAATATATTTTTATAGACCATTTTGAAGGTTTTTCACTATCACATATTCATGCAACTGTTCATAATAATGAATGATTTCATCTCAGATTAAACTAATTAGTCTAACATACAAGACTTCGAACAAGAAATAGTTTAACTAAAGATTTAATATAGCGTTATAAGGTGAGTAAAAGTATTGTCTGAATAGGTGACAGAGAATATGTATTCTATTAGAAATAAATATCGTTGTTTCTAGAAGTCAATAATCTTTGATTTTCATATAAAAAATTAATTCTCTCTCGGAATCGAATTATTTTTTTTTGAATTAGAAAAATAGTTCATATTGATCATAATAAAAACTCATTGAATATTTATTTATTCTTTTTTTTTTGATTAATTAATAGTAGTTCATTCTTACGTTATCAAATTCGAAAAACATAAACAAACCTGTGTTGTTAAATAGATTTTTTTTCTGAATAGATAAAAATGGCAAAAGAATTTCCCAATAGACATTATATTCTAAGGTTTAAATCATCTTTTACAAATATTTTCGATAAAATTCTATAATATATTTTTGATCTTTTTAACAAAAAAGGATCAACTAAGTACGTTTTTTCTATTTGAATGGCATTTTGTAAAACATAACAAGCGCAAAACGTTTGCCCCAATCAATTAAGAAGAAGAGAAGGTTCTTTTTCTCAATAGAATCAACACATAAAGTAACAACAAAAAAAAACTTCTCTACAAACGATCAAAGATCATAAACAACTTGTTTATTAAATTCGGTCTGATGACATTATATAGAGAAAAAAAATTAATTTAATCTGCCTTTCATAATGATACGGTTTGATAAATTTTTAACTCTGAGTATCTCATTGAAAATATTTCTTTGTTTTTTTTTTATTAAGTAAATATTTATTAACATAATCGACGTTTTGTTTTTTTCGTTCTCTCTAACACAAAATACATATTGTCTCTTCCTGTTTGAATACCTTTATGTTGTGAAAGACGAGCAAACAAGTCAATTGAACAAATACAAACAAATAAACAGATAAAAATTATAAAATGAACATTGGTCAAACAATTCAACAATACTTACAAAGCAAAAAAAGAAAGGAAATTCGTCAACAGAGGCCACTAAACTCTACTATGTACTAAATAACCTGACAATATCTATTACTATTCTATTAAAAAGAATTTGAACTTTTGTTTTGACGATTGAAGAAGTAATTATTAAAATTAGATGTGGAAATATTCTATTGAAGTGAATTATCTTATCTATTGACATCATTACAGACAATAAGTTTATTTATATTAGGAGAGATAATTAATAATATTCGTTACAAATTAAAATTAGTAATCAACTATAATCTTTCATTATAATATGAAAATAGACTAATCTTTTTTCAAATCAGCATTTCAATTAAATTATTTAATCGAACATTATAATGCATATTTCCTTCGTCTTAATATTACTTGAACTTTTATCAACAAATCTATTTTATCACAATCAATGAATTAAATATATAAAAATCTTCTATTAAATAATTTTTCAATAGAACCAATATCCGGAATGATAACAGCAAAAAAAAATCATTTGTTTTGTTTAACGCACATTTTCTACTCAATTAAAAATATTTTTCTTATATACATAATCCTTGGATATTGTTCTTGCAACATCGTATGATCACATCTACACCATTCACTTTTAAATTCAAACAAGATTATTATTTAATTGTATTATCTTATTAGGAAAATTAATGAATTAAAATCATTTATTATTATCGTGAATAGGAAACAAATGGGAAATGAACTTGAATATAGTTATTGTTTATTGTTATAGATAAAGAGAAAGAAAACGAGAGGGCATGACCTCATATTTTCTTTTTTTTTTCGTGTTCTTCGTTTTGTTGTATATATCCGTTAGTCAGTTAAGATTTTTCCAGTAGCTAAAATTTGAATGTAGAATGGTTGACCGTTGTATATAATGTCGAAAAAAGATTGGATAAAGAAGAAACGAAAGGAAAATCATTGTTCTATAATTCTCTCTTTCACTCTCTGGCTCTGTTCGTTTCTATTTGTATATAAGAGAGAGGAATCATTCATTTAATGTTGAGATTCATTTTTTGTGAAATAAGTTTACCTCATTGATTTAAAATCAGGAATTATCTAACAAAAATGTCATTAGATCCATTATTTCGACGAATGTCCATGATGGTTGCTATGTTTGCTTTTATTGGTGTTGTACTTGGTGGTATTGCATTGTTAACTAATTATTGGACAATGGAAAATGTTTCATCACCAGGTATGCCTATTCCAACAGCAAATGGAACTGTTGTTATTAATGAAAAATTTGATTGGACATGGAATGTAAGTTTTGATTATTTATTTTATTAATGTATAAATTAAAAAAAAAATATTTTTTTTTTTTCAAAAGGGTTTATTTTATATGTGTACATCACGTGCAAATGTTGCATGTATGAGACGTTTTTGGACAACAACATTTGTATTATGTTTATTAGGTTTAATGTGTTTATTAGTTGGTGGAATTTTTTCAATTTGGGAAATGTTTAAAACAAGTGATCGACGTTTTGCTATCCCAATGTTACATTTTGTTGCTTGTGTTTTAATGACAGCTGGTCTTTTTGATTATGGTTCAATGGCACGACTTAATTCTCATTCATCACGTTCAATGATTTCGGCTATTGTTTTTGCTTATGCTGCTTTACCTATTTCAGCTTTTATTGCAGGTCGTTATTCAGCATATGATCGTTATGTAAATAATGGTCATGTTCATAATGGACAAAAATATGTACCTGCTTCAACAAATGGAAACTAATTGAACAATTCAATTATCATTATCATCATCATGTTTATTGTTTATGTAGTTTTGGGTTTTTTTTGTTGTGTTTTTCTGTGTAAAGTTTTCCCTTGGAATCTCATTGTCATCTAACTATTAATTAGAAATATATCAAATTTATTGAATAAATATCACATAACATCGAAATATTCTTACATTTTTTCTCATATTCTATTGAAAATATTCTCAAATGAGCGTGGTTTTAATGATGAATATGGGTCAATCTAATACGATTCGGTGGAGTTTGTCGAGTTCCGTCTGACACATGTTTTAAAATTAGTTTTTTGAATTTTTCAATCATTTCTGATGACGAAACGGAAATCTTTGGCAAGGTAGGCATTCGCTACAACGTATTCGATGCTTTATCTAGTACAACCATTATCTTTTTTGACACATCGGTTTTCGAACATTTCCTGAAAAAACTCGAATCTGCTGCTAACTTTACATGCGTTTCTAATTGTCGAAGAGATTAAGTTGACGTGAATCAGTTACATTATTTATAAGTTGATGAACAGTTAGTAGCATGGCAGACTGAAATGATCTCGTCTTCTACTCACCATTCACATGTTTTCCATAGTCAAATTTAATGGGGAATGGAGGAAGGAGAAGAGCAGTAACCATAACTTTATACTTTTTCTTGAGATAAAAGGCTGAAATTTTTATCACATATATATCTAATGAAGATCTTTTATTATCCAAAGTTTCAGCACTCTAGAAAAAACTAGAACTGAAATGCGTAGACAAGATTAATATACATGAACTTTTGTACTAGAGTTTTTTTTGAGATCTTCCTTTCTTGGCCAGTGATATTTAAAAATTCAATAAAAAGAAATTTTTTCAAAAACGTAAATTGTAATTTACAATCTCTCTATATTGATTGAACATAGAAAATCATTGATCTTCTTATATCTTATAGAAATAAGATAAAAATATTTATTTTCAGAAAAATGATTCTATCTTAAAGAAACAAGGATTTGATATTAATTGACTTAGAAAAGAGAAAATATATTTTATTTTATTTTTTTTTGTTTTTTCTACAATATTCAAAATAATTTATCTAAGTTTATTTACAAATCAATCAAGAATATTTTCAAGGTTTTAATTTTAAGATTAGATCGAAATAAATGTGAAAAATAAATTAAATATTCAAAGATTTATTTTTTAATAAATAGAAAATGAAATGAAATAGAAACATAACTGAATGAATCAATTTTTTAATTGAGATTTTTATTTAATAAAGATTTGATGATAATAAAAATGAACGAACAAATTCTAGTATATTATCACTATTAAAATGATGAAACTGATAATTAATATTTTCACAAAGATTTTTTGTATGAAATATATTTTTATCACCAACTAGAATTATATTTCCAAGAATATTTAATTTTTTACTATATTCTTTTATAAATTTAATATAATGTTTTTCATTTCCAGTTGAACTAAAATTATCACCACCATCAGTAAGAATATAAATAGATCGTGTTGTCGAACGATTAAGAATTTGATTTAATTTTTCGAATTTTTCTAAAGAGAATTTTATAGCATCAAATAAACATGTAGGTGAACCAGTTGGTGTAAGTTTTTCAAGAATTTTAGAATGATGTTGACGTATAGTCTGAAATGAAAAATGTTCTTCAGGATGTTTATCAAATGTTATTAATGAGATTTGATATGTAGTTGAATTCCATCTAAATTAAATTAAAATTTTTATTTTCAAAATTCTTTTTTTTTAAAATAAATAAAAACAAACCTTCGTTGAAAAATTTCATTTAAAAATTGAATTGCTAGATAAAATCTACCTGTACCAAAAAGACCAGTAAAAGAATCTGAATACCACATTGATGTACTTGTATCTAATAAAAATATTTCATAAATATTTCCTATTGATTGTTTATAATCATGAATAAGTTCTTTAATATTATCATTTTCTAATAAAGAATATTCAGATAAAGGAATATTACAATCTCTTATCGGACAATAATTATATCGAATGATACATTGACGATCAAATGAATGACCACATTGAGAAATAACTACTGGATTTGTGTAAATTTCTCCACATATATAACATTTTAGATCATTTAGAGTTGTATTGCTTGCCATAGAATCTTCTATTTTATTTGTCTGTGTATCTTTGCTTTCTTTTTTTTTTACCTTTATTTAAATAAAAAAGAAAAAAAAAATCTGAAATAAAACCGTTGTTTTTCTCTTTATGAATCATTATTGACTAATAATAAAAAGGAAAAAATCTAACATACGTTATGATACATTATTCAACGAAAATTTTCTTTTATAAATGTTAGATGTTTTCCTTTTCTTTTAGTTCATGTTATTTTTCTCAAATTCTTTTTGTTGATAAATGATGAGCAAAGAATTTACTACTAACATATTTAATAACAATCAATTGTTAGATGTAAAGCATTTTTTATCTAATTATTCGATTGTCAATATAGTTAAATATTATATAAAATAATTCATTATAAAAGAAAAAGTGTTTAGTTGTGACATATGATAGACTGCCCTATAGATTATTCTCGAATAAGATACAACAGTTTTTGATGTTTATCTTTCGAAATCTTTGACATTGAATAACTTATCTGATTGTATAATAAACATAAGATAAAAAAATAAAATATTTATTTTATTATCATGACGAATATTTTGACAAAAAAAAAACTTTCAACGTTTATTTATCAGAGAACAAAAAACTTTTTATTTGATTGATATTATAGTATAGAAGATAGATTTGTTTCATACAAATACAAAATTATAATTTTCAATCTATTTACAATTAAATCAAACAAATTATTATTTTTTTTCAAGATTTTAGAATTCATTTGATTTAAAAAAAAAACGTTTGTAAACAAATTCTATCATTGATAATATTAAATATAAAATGTCTTAGATCTTCAATAGAATTCGACAATTATCAACAGAATTTTTCTAATATTTGTTTTCAACTTTGAATACAGTTAAATCATTTTTAATTGTTATAATACTGTTATTCTATGCATATTTTAACGATTTATTTTTTCATATTAAATTTAAAAATTGATCGATAACAAAGAAGTGGATCAGTTTAATCTATCAGATTGATCCACTGCTCATCTATTTCGAATAAGCAATAAACAAAGATACTCTTAGTATGATTCGATTGATTTAATAATAATTTTTTTTACATCAATTTTATTCTTTGTCAATATTGTCACTTTTGTTACATTATATTATTCCAAATTGCAAATAGTATCATTGCTCATTATATATCATCGATTAGAACAGTGTCCAACAACTGAGATACACCAATCCATTTTTCATTCTCTGGTGTTTATATCTATTAAGGAGTTTGTGAACATGAATGTGTCTCTATGAAAACTATTGCAGAAGAAGCATTACTTCAGCTTTTATGAATAGCAGAATTAATAGTTCATTCTCATTTCGTTGAACAATTTTTATAGGTCTGTTGAGAATTCGTCGAAAACTCAGATACTTCTATTTCTCAGTTCTTGAACATTGATCAATGAGTAATCAGTGAAAGAAAACGTCGAATGGGTACGAATATGAAGAGCCCGAATCTGTAGCTGTTCTGTTCTTTGCGATCGTATTCTCATCTGAAGTATAATAGATTGAGAGATAAGTATAACGTTTGAAAATAAGAGCTACCAGTCAATAAATTCAACCGAACGGCTATTATTTTATATGGTACCATCATCTAACACGCAAATTGAACTTGACAGTGTGGGTCTAGTTGATGATGTCAATGTGGGCTATGCGAAGATAAAGACAAATAGCTCATCGATATCCAACAGACTTTTTTTTTAAATCTCTTTTCGTTTTTTTTACTGGCATAATTCTGAGCAAGATAACATTTCCTTTTAAATGTACATTTTAAAAGTCAAAGGAGAAAATGAAAACAATTGCCTCGTAGGATTTGTCATCAATGCCTAATATTCAAGTAACTGAATGAAGGATTTGCCAATATATAATAGTAATAAATATGAATTAGCTGACATAAACCAATCTCAAAAATAAACACATAATATCTATATTATATTTATATTGAAATCAATTTTCTATGATTATATATCGAAGCATTGAATTAAATTTCCACGAAATTTTTTCTCTTAATCATTTAATTTGAATATCCTGTAATTATGAAATTCCTATCTTATGAACTAAATCACAGGAGCAATGCATGAATTGGTCAATCTAGTGTCGCTTGCGAGTTCGATAGCAAGATCTTTTAAACTTTATTGCATAATTTGATAGAATCAATAGACTGTTTTTAAATCAAGATCAGAATTGAAATCGGATAGGCTAGTTTTGATTATCACTAGTGAAAAGTGATTTCGACATTTTAAATAACTAAAAATTGAAATATGACGAGCAAAAGTCAATTTCTATGACACTGATAAATATGATAAACTGTTCTTATTGTTAATATTGAATAAAAATCTACATGTTTTATATAATTTATCATGAGAATCGACAATTATAATTCTTCGTTGAGTCGTCTATGATATTAAAAAACGGTTGAGACACAAACGATCTAAAAGTTGTTTCGCTATTGATGAACTATGCTGGACTCTTTCTTCTTTATCTCAATTCGAAAAAAAAAAGAAAAAATGTATCTTTCTTTATATCACAAGAAAAAAAATACAACAAGAGAAAGAATGCTGATAAACCTGACATAATTGTGCCATAGAACAAGAGAGAATGTTCTTATTGTAGGACTAATCTCTTCTGAGATAACAAACTATGATTGAGAAAACATGAATAAGAATTGAGTAGGACGTTTTTAATCGAATCATAAGTTCGTCTGTGTTAGTCACTCCAAAAAAGATATTGTTTGCGCAAATTCTAATGTTTGTTTAAAAGTCTCATTTATAGATTATATTTATGGCAAAAAAAAACCAGCGTGAGTCTTGTTTTGTAGTGATGCACTTATTACAAATCCATTTTCGATTGATTAAAATTTCTTTCTTTTTTTTTTGTTTATTTATTTAGATAAATAATGGTTATGTTAAGAATGATAATTTAAAGTCAATTGAGTGATATTAAAGTTGAAATGTATATATTTAAGTTAATGTATAACCAATAAAATTCGTCTATAATATCTCCTTAGTATTTTCTAGTTCGGATAATTAACATATCTATGCATTTAAATATTCGATTATAAAATAAAAAACTAATTGAAATTTTTCGATAATTGTTTTTTGTTTTATGGGTATTTTCAGTTGTTTAAACATTAAAAAAAAGCTTATCAAAAGTGATCTATTGTAAAATTAAAAAAAAATTCGTATCTCGAATTAAATGAATCAATATTCGTTGTTTATTGTATTTGGTTTAATTTAATTTGTTAAATATGTCTGATATCCGTCGTGATCGTGAAAAGTCTTTCTCCTTATCAAAATGTTCAACAATAAATGAACGTGAAAATAGTAAAGATGATTATGAAAATAATCATTATAAACGAACAAATTCAAATAGATCAAACGATTATTCAGATTCTCAACGAACGTAAATTTAATTTATTTATTTTTCTTTCTTTCTTTCGTTTTTTTTTTAAATAAAATATTATTTAGACCAACTGTTGATGGAAAAGTTTATATTGGCAATGTTCCAACTGATAATTTAACTGATAGTGAATTACTTGATTTTTTTAAATCATTTGGCAAAGTTTCAGGTCTTATTTTCTTTTTTTTTCCTTTTTAAATAATTTTCTTTTTGTTTAAATATAAAAAAGATATTCGAGTGTATAAAGGTTATATGTTTGTGCAATATGATAGAATGGAAGATGCTCGAAGATTAATTAAAGAAGGTCAAACATGTTTAATGCTTAAAGGAAATAAACTTGGTAAAAATATTTATTTCAAAACAAATATATATATATAGATATTTACTTTTATTTATTTAGATGTTTTACCAGCAATGGAAGTCAGTTTAAAGAATAGACAATTATCTTTAAATGAAAGATCTTCGAAAGATCATAAAAGGTTATTTAGAATTTTTAGTTATTTTTTTTAAATATAAAATTTACATTTTGTTTTCTAAAGGTCTCAACATGAATCATCAAGAAATTCTCGTCGACATTCTGATTATGATCGACAATCATCAAATTATGAACCTCCCAGAAAACGACATTCATCAAGACATCATTTAGATGATCATCATCAACACAGATCTTTTATTAATAAAAATTCAGATAATTATCGGTCAGTTTTTTTTCTTAAAATATTTTTTCTTTGATTCAATCAATATATTCTAATTGATGCCTTTATTAAATAACGTTAACAAACTTCAAAAAAAAAACAAATCGTTTCTTTTACTTTGTAAAAATTGCTGTAAAAGATATAGGGTTATAAACGTAGATCAATTTAGTAAATCATTATCTTCCTAGTTAGATACTCATTTAAACATGAATTATTTAATTTGACAACATGATTTAATTAACCCTTTACCCCTCATTGGCAACTGGCATTGCCATTTTTAGAAACATTGCAGAAAATAAAGGAAACGTCGGATTCAAAAATGATAAGAGCCTTTTTTTTTGTAATAAACATCATGGAATATCAATTGGTAAAAAGAGTATTTTTTTTTCATTGCTTCATCTTTGAAATATCGGGCCTTCAAAATCGATAATTTTGAAAAAACTTGAAATTTTTTCAAATAAAATATTCTATACTTATAGGCAATAGAGATCTTTTAGAATTTCTGTGCGATATTAATTGATGAAGAAGTCTACTTATGAATAAAATATATTTCAAAAGTTTCATGACAACTTAACGAATTACACATGCTCAGACACACTATTGACCATGTAACTACTATTGGGCAGATGGAGGGCAATCAAGAACAAAATTAATATATGCATTATAAACCTCAACTCATAAGAAGTTGAAATAGTATTTATTATGAATTAAATTTCTTCTAAGATCATAAAATAGCTCAGAACAAAAAAGACTCCCATTTGACAATACGTGTAAAAAACGCAAGCATTCTTTGATATTAATTTTTATCGGTTCACAACTGTTTCTTTTCCCATTATTTCTAAAACACGGGATATATGTTGCTTCTGCCCACTCAATAGTTTAATCAAAGAAAAAAACTCAAGTCTTATGATGTTGTTCAATTTCCTTTTTTCACCACATGATCGCTGAATCTATTGAGCTGTTCTACTCTAGAAGCAGGATATTCGGTGGATCAGACCACATCATTGGCATATTAGAGAGACTAATACTTTATTTATAAAGTTATTTTATCAGTGGCTCTTCTGAAACCGCTATGGAGGGTAAAATGTTAAGTTGTATGAAACTATTGAAAATAAAATTGAAAGAAGATGAAACTATTAAAGATAATTATTTTGAATATTGTAGAGATTCAAATGAAACGGAAATGATTAGTGATCGTCGTGTTATTATATCATCATCAAGATCAAGTTCACATCGTTTAAGTCGATCTCCAAATAATAATTCATATGATTCATCATCTCGTTATCATCAATCATGTTATACTATTCTATCAGGACCTGATAATCCAAGACAATTAGTAGATTGTCAAATAATTATTGTTAATCCTCGTCAAAGGTATTTTTTTTAATCACAAAAGAAAAAAAAAACCTAATTAATTTTTTTGTTTTTTTTTTAATATAAAAATTTATTAAGAGGTTATGCTGAAGAAATTTCATCTCGTCTTGTTTGTCATGGTTTGATAACATCAATAATACTTCTTCGAGAAGATTACACATTAACAGAAGCTATTGAAAATGCAGCACATGAACAATGTCTTTATGGAATAATTGCTATGCCAATGCATGAAGAACGACGTACTGCATCTTTTCATATTCTTCATGGACAAACCGAAGGTTTCGTTTTTCTTTTTTCTTTTTAATTTAATTTTTAATAAATAAATATTATTTAGAACATCGTAATTTAACATTAGACGATGGTTATCATATAATATTAACAAATTTTACTTGTTATAAAGAACGTATTCGAAATGAAGAAATAAATCGATATGATAATGATAATGTTGAATCAATTGTTTATTCACAATCAAAAGAAAATCTTAATAAACAAAAATCAAATTCATTAAATGAATTTCCATTATCATTTGGTGATAAATTACCATTATCAATGTTATTATGTCTTTTAGCTGATGGAAGACAATTAACATTAGATGAAATTGATCGTATACTTGTTTATTTACTTGAAAAAAAAGCAAAAATGTTAACATTACCACAAGGAACATTACCACCATTACCTGTTCAATATGCTAATGTTAAAACAAATCATCAAACAGGTTGATTTTATATTTAATTTTTTCCTTAGAACAAAAAGAAACCTAAAATGAATATATTTTTAAGAATTTTCATAATTAAAAAAAATTTTCTTCCAAAAATTTATTTTAATTAAAGTCAGTTGAAAGTGTATAGACATGTTTCAATAGAAAAAATTTGCAAATCGATTGAATTTTTGTAAATTTTTTCGATTGAAACCATCTGAGAATATTTCGTTGATGAATACTTTTTCGAAGTTCTGTCGATTTTTTTTTGAGTTTTTCTCTTAAATAGAAGAATTATTCCTAAATCTGAATTATTTCTGATTAAAAAAAGAAATGAATTTATTAATATTGAATTCTTTAAAAAAGATTCATGTGTTTTATCTGATCGAAATTGTTTATTAACAAAACAAGATTTATCATCATCGGAATTATCTTCAACAATAGCTGAACAAATTCGTCAAATTCTTTCAACAAATATGATTAAATCATCATGTTTAAATTCGAATGAAGAATTTAATATTGAAAATCGAACAAAAAAAACTTCATTTGATTCATTATCAAATATAACTAAATATCAAGATAAAAATATTTCACAATCAAATATACATTTTAAAGATGGAATAAAAGATTTAAATGATTATCAACAAATTTTTCAATCATCAGGACAAAATATTTTATCACAAGAAAATAATAATCAATCATCTTTTTCTTATACAAAATCGAATCAAAATAGTTCAGCATTTATTCCACCATCATTTCATTATTCATCATCATCATCAATACCAACAAATGAAAATCAATCAAATCCATTTATTTCATCATATGATTCACTTGCTAATACATTACCTATTAAATCACCATTAAAACAAACAACATCAACAACACCAGTACCAACATCCGATGTTGTTTGTAAATCTTCCGAATATTTATATCCATCAACATCAATTACAAATCAAAATCTTTATCAAACAATGCCTAATTCAGCAGCAGCTGATGCAGCAGCTGCTATTTTTCAAGCATATTCACAATTCAATAATCGAACAACATCAATGTCTTCAATTATTAATCAGCAACAACAACAACAACAACAACAACAGCAACAACAAATTCGAAAATAGTACAAAATGCATCTATGAACTTGTTCCTTTTTGTTTTTTTTTTTTTGCCTTGTTCATTAAAACTTGATTATTAGAAAAGAAATTATTCATCTTGTGTTAAACTAAACAAAATAAAACGAAAGATTCATAATCGAACTTTATATATTAAAAAAAAATTTTATTTTATAGAACCGATCATGAAAATCTCGAATAATGACTATTCAAAATCTTCTTAGGTGTTTATATGATTATCCTTTTTCTAGACAAACAAACTTTTTGGCAAAAGTTTTAATCTATTCTGATTGTAGAGCATATTGGATTTCCTAGAAAACATTCACCCTTTCTATTTCAAATCGGTTTTTTTTTCATGAAGAAGATCGAGTAGTCATTTGAATACATACTCAATATATATATTAATATTTCAATGTGAAAAGTCACAATCCAAATCAGTGGACTTATTCAGCAATGTGCTTTTTCGAGAAAAACATCATCTTGATTAATATCATTGAGATCTTATACAAATTATAACTTTAGTCAAACGATATTAAGCTTTTATTATCTGAATACATTAACTGAGAATTTATACTTATTTTATTCTTTGAATTAATTCATAAGATAACAAAGATAGAGTTTGTTTTATCTGTATAATCGATGAATAAATGTTGAAATTCAATAAAATATAAACAATTAAGGAAGTTCCACTTTTAACCAAACTCGAAGTGAAATTTACTCCGAAGAAGAGATTTGACAATTGACTTCTTTTCATATATTTAATAAATAAACTGTTCTTTAATAGAAAAACAAATAGTGTAGTTGAGAAAATGGACTCTATCGTAAAATTTTTTTTGCAAACTAGAACTTTTTGAGTAAAGAGATCAAAAGCAGTGATTTTCATCTTAACATTCTACATAAATAAGAATTTTACAAAATTATTCATTATAAAAAAAATCAATCGATATATATATTGGTGTTTTTTTTTTAAGATAAATTTTTTGCAAATCAATTCTGTGTGAAAAAATAATAAAAGATAAATAGACTTTCGATATCTAAAAATATCTTTTTTTCGTATAATAATAAATGCATTAAGAAATTTGTAAATCTGTTGAAAATAATGATCATCATTTTGGAAAGAACGATGAAGCAAAAGACAAATTTTAAGATAAAAATATCGTTTTCTGATTTTATTTAATTTTCTTTAATTTATTAAAATCTTGAATAAACATTCTAGGAAATCTAACAAAAAAAAAAAATCATTCAGGGAAATAAAATTAGATAAAACGAAAAAGAAAGTTCTAGTGGTTTTTTTTGTTATAGAATCTATAATTTATTGAAGACATAATTGTTTTTTAGGATCAAATTTAAGACCTTTTGGACATGATAATTGTAGAAGTAAATAATCTATAAATAAATAATTTAAATAAAAATAAACAATTCAAAATAAAATCTATTCGAACCATCATCAAAAGATATACACGAGAAATATTTTCCTTGATTTCTCATGTGTTCATCAATGAAATATCCCGATGATTCACAATGAAAATATTCTAAAAATTAAAAGAGAAAAAAAAATGTTTGTTTGTTTTTTTTTGTGAAAATCAAATTAAAATAAATGATTCAAACGTGTTTCACATCGTGAACCAGCCCATCCAGGTTTACATTGACAATAAATATATTTAGAAGATCCAATCTGACGTCGTTGACAAATACCTCCATGTAAACAATATGATACTGTACAAGAACCTATTATACCTTGACACAAAAAAAAAAGAATAATTTTAATTATAAAAATTAATTAAATTATTTAATCAATTTTACTTCGCCATTCACAATAATCTCCATCATAACCTGCTCGACAAAGACATACTGATTGATATGTTGTTGCTCCATCAAATATTGGACGAATAGCACATGCACCATTTGACATACATTCAATTTTATCACACAATTGTTTATCTTTAACATTTTTATTCAAAACATTTTTATATCAGAAATATTTAAAACAAACAATTTAAATACCTGCTCGAGTTTCACATTTACTACCTGTAAAACCACTTGGACAATTACAAAGATTTGTAGTTGGATCTCTAACACCTTTATTCTGACATTTATTTTCAGGTGGAGTTGTAACGATATAATTACCTAAAATAATAGAAAAAATAAATTCTTTTTTTTGGAAAATATTTCTTTAAAAATATACCACATGGCATTGTTGAATGTATCAATTCTCCTTGTTCATTTTTACATAAACATACAAAAGATTGATTTATATCAGTACATGCAACAACTGATGGTCCAACACCACATGGATTTGGTTGACGATCGCAAATTCCTTAAAAAAAACAAATAAAACATTTTAAATAATTTAATTGATAAGAAAAAAGACCTATGGAAACTTACGACAAGGTTGATTACGTGTTGTTGAACTATCTGGACATGTACAAATAAATTCACCATTCACAGCATCAAGACAATGATAACCATTAATAGGTAAAAAATATGAATGAGTTGAACCTTGTTGATCTAATTTACATGGATTTGAGCCATCATTACAAACTAAATAAAATAATTTATTTCAAATAATATTTTATGTTTAACTTACATATGCTAGATGCAATTCTAATATGAGCAAACAAAAATAAAATGACGACAAGCATTTTGTTTTTTCTTAATCGTATTTCGAAATGAACAACTATTAAAGAAGCTTTTTATATAGAAGATATTAGTACGATTCTTTTTTGTTCTGCTTTAAATAGAAATCATAAAAAAAAACAGATTGTATTGTTGTCTATTATACAAAATAATCCAAAAAGACCTTGAAAGTAAGTCGATCTTAAAAACGCCTATTTTCTTTAGTAATAAGCAGATTTTATTTCATTTTTATCCTTTTGACAATATTTAATGTCTCACTACCTTCAAAATTTCTACCAAAGTGACTCTTTTTTTTTTGTATTTGATTTAATGATTTCGTTGAGATTCTCCTGAGAATATTTTTTTTTAGTTGTTAATAATTATATCTCATTCTTTATATTTTAATCTCGAAGAATTCGTTCAATTACTTGACAAGATTATCTTCATTAATCTCAGTACGAGACTTAAAGATACTTGGTTAAAAATAGAATAAATCGAGAACGGAAACAGCTAGCGATCAACAATTTTCAGCAATCGAAAGAGAAGACATGGTAACATTCTCTTTCTCCCGATAGTGTATAGGACAAAATCATTTTGAAACTAATAATTTCCGCAAAACATTCAAAAAAAATCTTCTCTTTCGATTATTGAAAACTGCTGATCGCTAGCTGCTTCCGTTCTCGACTTATTCTATTTTTAACCGAGTAATTTTAACTCCTGCGCCACTATTAGTATCAACATTTTATCATCGGATTTTTATTCTTATTGTATTGTTCGATATTCTCACAACAATTACAAAGATAAAAGGAGAACAACAAGATCGTGTCAATTTTCGTAAAATGTTCAATTTAATTTGATTATCTGCCATGTCTAACAGTAAACACAATAGAGTAAAGATTTTTCAAACCTGTTAGACCTTATTTTTGTTTTATTCATTTATTCATTCGTTTTCGCTCAGAGAAAAATACGTTTTAGAAGTGAACTGGATCTTAATGTCTATTTGGCGTTTCATTTCAATCTATCGAATTGATTAATCGATAGGAAAAAAAAAAGTAAACACACGATTTGTCGGCTGTATTTATCATATAAGAATTTGCATAAATAATTCTATCTAGATACTATTTGATATAGATATTTCAATCGATGATTTTAAAACTATCTGAATAAAATCGATCTTCATTTAAAGTTTACTGCTAACATTTGTTCTAGAAATCAATTAATAAATATATTTAATCGATTTACGTGGAAACTATGTTGAAAAAAAAAGACCAAGAATACTAATCTATTTTTTCTTCTACTTCGAAAAGATAAACTTTTTTCCATAAATGATGCAAACAAAAATCTATAGAGAATCTAAACAAGATTATGCATTTGTGTAGTTTTATTATTTAATTTGAAATATATTTTGAGATGAGAAATATAGATAAAGATTTATGATTAAAAACATGAGATTATTTATATTAATGATAATATACCGGGTGGACCAAAAGTAAGAAAAAATAGTATTTTTTTTTCAATTTCTATCTTATAGATTGTTGCTTAGGCCTGATATTTATATCACATATACTAGTTGTGATAAATAAAAGATTGAGCATATGAACGATATGTAGATGTAATAATTGATCCGAGAGCATACAAATATAGTGTATGTAAAAAAAAGAAAGCGAATATTCTTGTTTGTTCTCTTATAGTACTTATATGTGTGAGGAGTGGCATCTAGAAGACAACAATACTAGTTGTTATCTCTTTTATCGACTGGTTTATTTTTTGTTTCTCTTTACATTTTCTGTTGTTTGTATAACTCTAACTTTTTTCACATTTTCTTCACCATGAGTAAAAGTTTTCGTTTGTCGTTACGTGAAAAAACTGAAATTGTGAAATGATACGCCATTTACCAAAATGCAGCTGAAGTTGCTCGTCAATTTCAAAATCATTTTGATCGTACTCCTCCAACATCAAAGAATATTTTGAGTCTTGTACGGAAGTTTGACGAAACTGGAAGCCTCGAAGATAGACCACAATCTGGTCGTCCTAGATCCGTTAGCACCGACGAGAACAAAGAACGTGTTCGTACTGCTTTTGAAGAAAGTCCTGCAACTTCAACAAGAAGAGCTTCTTTGGAACTGAATCTGTCTAGAAGTAGTCTTCAACGAATGATGAAAGAACTGGGATTGAAGCCATTTCGTCCGCAATTGCTGCATGCTTTAGATGAAGATGATCCTGACAGACGTTGTGAATTTGCCGAGATCTTTCTCGACTTGTTAGCTGACGACTCTTCCTTGCTTGATCGAGTTGTTTGGACTGGTAAAGCTATTTTCAAGTTGAGTAGTCATGTCAATCGGCACAATTGCGTTTACTACGCTGTAGAAAATCCCCCTGTTATTATTACTCAAGAAATGAATACCCTAGGCATCACTGCGTGAGCTGGAATTTGGGTTGGAGGCATCATCGGGTCGTTCTTCTTTTATGACAACGTTACTGCAGACAGCTATTTCGAGATGCTCCAAAAAGAGATTGTACCCTCTATTACAAATGAAATGGATTTAGAAGAGGTAGTCTATATGCACGACGGAGCACCGGCTCATTACGCTCAATCTGTCCAGCACTTTCTGGACAAAACATTTCCTGATAGGTGGATTGGTCGACGTGGATGGATCGACTGGCCGCCACGATCTCCAGACCTCACACCAACTGACTTTTTTTATGGGCTATCATCCAGGAGCATGTATACGCGACGAAACCTCAAAGTCTTCAAGCACTAAAAGATGCTATACTCACTGAAATACGAAGTTTACCGGTGAAATTTTGTCAAAGCGCTTGCTACTCAGTACCTGAGAGACTACAACTTTGCAAAGACTTAGGTGGTAAACATATTGAACAATTTCTCTGAAGAACTTCATAATAAGAACACTCCACAAAGACATACTTTTTGCACGTGTTTTTTTGCTTAGTTGGAACTTCTAATAAAAGTTCTATTGGAATTCACAAGTTTTTTCTTCTTGTTAGTCGTTCTGTATTTGAACGCTTTTAGATTATTTACTACATTTACATATCGTTCATATGCTCAATCTTTTATTTATCACACCTAGTATATGTGGTATAAATAGCAGGCGTAAGCAACAATCTATAAGATAGAAATCGAAAAAAAAATACTATTTTTCCTTACTTTTGGCCCACCCGGTATAATGTTAATCTTTATCAATAATAAACAAAAAAAAAATATCTCATTCAATTAATGATTCTCATTTTCTTAAGAATTAAAGAGAAATAGATTGGTTTTTTTTAAAATTTATTTGTTTCATCTTTTTATATTATTCTTAAATTCAAATAATAAAAAAAAACAAAAATTTTTATTTTTAGCTCGTATGACAAAGATATTTTTATCGACAATAACAAAATTGACATGTTTAATGAGATATTTAATAAAAGAGAAACAAAAATTTGAATAATTTTTGCATATAAACAATAATCATTTGCATAATATGAAATAAATATTTTTAAAAATAAAATCTTAAAAAATTATTTTTATTGAAAAATAATTAATCAATTAAGTCAACATGAAAAATTTCAAAAAAAATATTTTATTTTTTTATAAGCAAAAAAAAAAATCTTCATCGATACAATGTTAAAGTATTTGATTTTTTTTTATCTGATAAAAAAAAATGTCTAAACAATAATCTTATTAAATATTTATTAATAAAACAAGCACGATGAAAAAATGTGATATTCTGTTTATTCATCGTCGATGGGTAAGTAAGTACTGACTAGATTATATTCAACTATTTTATGCTATTCTCTTCTTTTTTTTTTCTTGTCGACGTCATACTAAATGCAGCAGATGAAAACGAAGAAAATCTTTTTCCGTTTATTTGTCGACAAATAGACATCAGAAAAAAAGCTCTTTCTTTTTTCTCTTTTTTTTTTTGGACTGTCGATTTTTGTCCTAAATATTTGACATTATTCTCTTTAATAGAACTTTAAGAAATACTTTTATTGATAAAAAAAAAAAAACAAGTAAACAAATGTTGATTTATTCATTTTCGAAACAATTTAATATCGATATTAAATAATTATTCAAATCAAGATCGAATTTTATTTCTTAAGAATAAATAGACAAAAAAAAATATATTTCTTAAACAAATAAATATATATATAAACGATAGCATTCATCACGTTAAATAAAATGAGGAACATACATAATCACATATGTGGGTAAATATGAAAGCACTGATTTAGTGAGTACATCGGAAGAAGAAAAAATAAGCAACTTTCCAGAGAAAAACATCACGATTTTTTTTTCCATTGACATGCAAAACAAGAGAAAAAGAAGAAAAAAAAAGAATAATTGCTAACGAGACATAGAATATTTTCATCATAATCATCAGCATCTTCTTCTTTCTACTTTGACAAGATACTTGTTTCTTTGTCACTTCTTTCAATAAGTCATTCAATCGTATTTCGATAGATTTTAGAAAACAAGATTTCTTAATCATCATTCAAAGCAATATCTACTCTGGTTCTTGTTTTTTGTGAGTTTATTTAATTCTTTTTGTGTTTTTTTTTGAAGATAAATTCTACAAAAAAAACAATCATATGTGAAAATTTTCTAATAATTAACCAAATATTTGAAGAATTTATTTTATTTTGATCCAGAAAATATATTCATATACTTGAATAAATGTAAATCTATCAAGATAAAACTAATTTTTTCTTTTTTTTGTCAAAATAAATATTTTCGTTTAGAAACAAAAAAAAAAAATTTCTTCTTAAAATAAAAATTTCTTATTAATAATACTTTTTATTTTAAGATAAAACATTAAAAAAAAAAAAACTATGAATAAAATTCATTGTCCTACAATAAATAATGAATCATTATCTCATTATATAATTATAAATGAAATGGTTTCAACAACAGGATGTACACATGAACAAGCTGAACAATTCTTAAATTTAACTCAATGGCGACTTCAGGTTTTTTTTTATAAGTTTAAAGAGAAAAACTGAAATATTCTTTTCTTTTATTTGATATATTAGGCAGCAATTGAATTATTTTTCAATGAACGAACAATACCAATTCCATGTTGCAAATTTTCCGAAGTAAATATTCTTATATGATTTATTATTTCAATAGAATATTTATTTTTAAAAATATTTTAGTTATTGGCTCCATCTAATACTCCAGTAACTCCACCAAATTTTCCTGAAACTCTTCTTTCTCTTGGAAAATTATCAACTTCAGAAAATCTTCTAAATGATAATCAAATAACATCAACAACACATTCATCATCACCAATCAATATTAATATGATTATTAATCATCGAAATTAATTTTAATCAAATAATTAACTTCAAAATATATATTTTTGTCTTTTTACATTTTAAATTAAATATCATCATTTATATTTTTATTCTTTGACAATGATTTTACTATAAATTAATTCATTTTAATAAATTTATTGATGTAGCAATTTACATATTATACTTTCAATGATGACTTTATTTTTTACTATTATCAATCCATTGTCTTGTCAATTGTTTAGAAGAATTCTGATTACATTTGATTACTCTATTTGAATCTATAAAAAAAAAAAAAAACAAGATTTCCACAAATTGGTCAAAATTAATCAGTTTAAAAACAAAATTCGATCAATAATTCCATTATTGTTGTTTTTTTTAATAGTCAAACAAATGAAAAAAATAGCATAAGATAAAGCATTCAAAGTTGATTACTGTTGGCATAGATCAGTGTTAGAAATTTCTCGTTCTCAATATTGAAAATATATTATTTTGCAAGTATAAATGCATTTATTTCAATCAATATATGAAAGTTCAACTCAAAAATAACATATCAGTTACGTTGACAAGACATAGATTCATGTCAATTATTTATATTAATAATTGTCAATTAACTTTGTATGCTTTATTTGATGATAGTCTTTTATTTATTTGACTATTAAATAAAATATTATGGAATTGTTACTCGAATTTTCTCTTTAAATTCATTAATTTTGAGCAATTATGAAAGTCTTGTTTTGGTTTTTTTTTATGTATTCGATATAATCTAATTATAGATTCGAATAGAGCAATCAAATGTAATCAGAACTTTTATAAACGATTGACAAGAGAATCAATTGTTAATAGAAAAGAAAATGTCATCATTGAAATCACGATATACGAATTGGTACATCCATAAATAAATTCATTAAAATATGTTTTATGTTATTTTTAAAAAAGTTAAACACTTAATTTTTTGATAAGAAATAATTAATAAAAAGGTCAATAATTATTAATAGTTTTCACTTTTTATATCATTTGATCTAACATGACATTGAAAATATTCCAAACATTTTTTCACTTGAATATTTTATTTATATTCGTAGAAATTTTATTTTTTCTCTACTGCTAAATTCAGTTTTGTGCTAAAAAAAAAGATAATGATCTTCGTGTTGTTAAATAATTAAGTCATTAGTTTTATTATTCAAATTTAAAGTATCATAGAATCTAAACAACTGACTATGAAAAATACTTTTGAAAACTAAAAAAAATATTTTAATAATATGCAATAGTAAAAATTCTTATGAAGATGTCGAAATTTGTTTCGTATAGTGACAAAATTACATAAGTTTGTTTCATTTAAAAGAATAAAATCTAGAAAATACAACGAATAAAAAAATCAGACAAATGATCTATTTCTATTTTTTCACTATCAAATTTCAATATTTTGAAATTTTTAATGAAATTATTTATTGCAAAAATCTTCAAACAAAGAAGAATAGAAATTTAATAGAGTTTAAACAATCTATTTAAACGCCATTGACATCTATTCGAATGTGTTAATATGAACACATATTTAGTCAATGTTTTTCAGAATGACATTAAATGATTTACAAGAGTTTTATTTTTCTTACATATTGCTCTTTCCAAGAAGGATTCGCGACTTGAGATGTGTTAGAACCAAATTTTAGTTTTGAGAGCAGAATCAAAAAGAAAATTGATCCCGCACATCTTCATTTCCGACACAGTTAAAAAGTAACGGCAGTTCGTCTCACAAAAAATCTATATTGAAAAGCGACTTTTCTATAAGTTTTTCAATAACTCGAATAAAACGAGGAGAGTCGTAGAACAATCAATACCCAAAGATATAGAACGATCTCCATGACTCAATATTCTAATCATCAAAGTGACCTATATAATTTGTCAAAACATGATCATTGATGAGCGTATTAAAATTTCATATTTTTCTCTAAGAACACATATCAACAACTATTGGTTAATTTGCATAATATGAAATTATATCTATATAAATAATCCCTGGTATGAGACAGTAATTCAATAATCTCTATTTGAAACAAATCCGATTTTATAAAAATCTTTTCATTAAATATTAAAGAACAATATTAAAAATAAAGCTATTATAATGTTAAAGAAAATATGAAAAAAAA